TCTCTCTCTCTCTCTCTCTCTCTCTCTCTCTCTCTCTCCCCCCCCCTCCCTATCTCATGTGTGCCCATGAGGAAACTGGGACCCTTCAAAGTAATTTCCTGGGTACTAGGCCTCTCCTTGTGCTGTCAGACTTGGCCCTGCACTTTGTTTGCTGTTAGACTTTGAACCAGCACGGGCCTGTCTTTGTGAACCCAAGGTGCCCAAGGAGGACACAGACCAAAAACCTGTGGGCAGAACCAAGATGGACAGAGACATTCCGGCTTGCACTATGGAGCGGCTGCAAAGTGCGGTGGTCCACAAGCAGGTGGTGTCTGGGCGTGAGTTCAAGGGCCGCCCCTTTAACAGCAGGCCTGAGGTCATTTACTTCAAGGTAAGCCTGACCAGTGGTCAAGGAAGGAAGCGTTTCAGCCACTGTCCTAGAGCTATCTTCAGCTTTGGGACTAGTGTGCAAGGGCTGGGTGGGCAGCTAAGGATCAGAAAACACCTGGGCACTCTTTAGAGAGGTCCCGGACTAAAGGGACAGCAGAGTAATTGCCTGCCAGGCAAATTCCACCTTCACCTGATGTAGCCCAGGAAGCTTAGCCCCCACCACCTGCTGGTTAGTGCCTGCTTTCACAGAAGGGCAGATGAGGCAACCTGAGCTTCTGTTCTCTCTCCTACCCCACCAGTCCTCCACAAAACTACTGTCCTGCAAAGGAGGAAATTGTCACAAGGTGGGCCCCTCACTGCCTCTCTCAGTTTAAGGGCAGCCTGGGGAGTCCTTCTCTACGCACGTCATACAGTGAGTGGGCCTCTCACTGCCACTTCTCCCCTGACCTGCTCTTCAGCTGCTGCTGGAGGGCTTGGGCTCTTCTTGTCCTTCATCTCTGCAGGACTTTGATATTGGCAAAGTGTACAAGAAGAAGATTACGTTGATAAATGCCACCTATACAATCAACTATTGCAAACTGGTGGGAGTGGAGGAAAACCTGAAGGACTTCATCCACATTGAGTGAGTCTCACAGAGTCTGGGTGTGAACTACAGGCCAACTTTCCTTGGAGAGCTGGGAAAGTCACTCCTCCATCTCCTGGCACTGAAATCGTGGAGACCAGCCCAGACCCCTTGAATGCATGACCAAGCTTTTGGCTGGGCTGCATAAGTTTCCTCTCACTTTTGTCTGTGTTTGCTTTGGCTCTGCAGTAACTCCCGTGGCAGCTCACCTGCTTTCTCACTGTGAAAATCTCAGGACTGTTTTTCAGAGCTGTAATTTATTTTTCTCTGTGTGCCAGTGTTTTATCTTCTTTTTCTGAGACGCTTCTTACGCACGTTGTCACTTCTTTGCTGACTTTTTTTTTTTTTTTTTTTTTTTTTTTTTTTTTGGAGGCTTTTTTCCCCCGTTTTTCCTTTTTTGTTGGCTTTTTTTTTTTTTTTTTGGAGGCTTTTTTCCCCCGTTTTTCCTTTTTTGTTGGCTTTTTTTTTTTTTTTTTGGAGGCTTTTTTCCCCCGTTTTTCCTTTTTTGTTGGCTTTTTTTTTTTTTTTTTGGAGGCTTTTTTCCCCCGTTTTTCCTTTTTTGTTGGCTTTTTTTTTTTTTTTTTGGAGGCTTTTTTCCCCCGTTTTTCCTTTTTTGTTGGCTTTTTTTTTTTTTTTTTGGAGGCTTTTTTCCCCCGTTTTTCCTTTTTTGTTGGCTTTTTTTTTTTTTTTTTGGAGGCTTTTTTCCCCCGTTTTTCCTTTTTTGTTGGCTTTTTTTTTTTTTTTTTGGAGGCTTTTTTCCCCCGTTTTTCCTTTTTTGTTGGCTTTTTTTTTTTTTTTTTGGAGGCTTTTTTCCCCCGTTTTTCCTTTTTTGTTGGCTTTTTTTTTTTTTTTTTGGAGGCTTTTTTCCCCCGTTTTTCCTTTTTTGTTGGCTTTTTTTTTTTTTTTTTGGAGGCTTTTTTCCCCCGTTTTTCCTTTTTTGTTGGCTTTTTTTTTTTTTTTTTGGTCTTTTTGAGACAGGGTCTCCCGGTAGCCCCAGCTGGCCTGGAACTCCCTGTGTAGACCAGGCTGGCCTTGAATTCACAGAGATCTGCCTGCCTCTGCCTCCCAAGTGCTGGGATCAAAGGCATGCGCCACCATGCCCAGCTTCTTTGATGGCTTTTTAAGTATCATTTTTCCTGATTCCCTTTCATGCTTTTTAATTTTTTCCCCCAATTTTTTTCTTTCTGTGGTGCTTTCTCGTCTTCCGTTGCTGAGCATCTTCTTTTTCTGTTCTTTTTTCCATCTTTATTTTTTCTTTTTGCTGTTTTTTTGAGACAGGGTCTTGCTCTGTAGCCTAGGCTGACCTTGAACTCACTATGTAGCCCAGACTGGCCAAAAACCTGCAATCTTCCTGTCTCAGTCTCCCAAGTAGCCAACACTGCAGGGCATCCAACTTATAGGCAGGTCTGTTCACAGCTCAAAAGCACCTATGTCTGCTAGCACCTATGTCTTCTCTCCCTGGGTTCCACGGGTTCCTTTCCTCTCTCCTGCAAGATGTCTCCTGAGGCTGTTCCTATGGGAGTGCCCTCCCACATAATTTCCATAAACAACACTGACAGAGTTCTAACCGGTACTTCCCACTGAAGATATACTGCTCTCTTGGGAATAGAATAGAAGGGAGCACTAGGATCTTTGGTCTTTTGTCCCCAATTTCCTGCAATTTGCCGAATCTCCTAGCTGTCTTCAAAGGCTGGCATGGAGGGAGTGTTGCTGGAAAGTGTTTATACACACACACACACACACACACACACACACACACACACACCTGTTAATTTGAGATCTGAGAGCTTTTCTGTCTTTTGGTCATGTTAGGTCACCTGCTCTTGCTGACCTGCAGGGTTTCTGGAGGGTGTGGAAGACCCAGGCTAGATGGTCACCATTACCCCAGCTACCACAAAGCCTTCCCTCCTTCCCAGGCCTTCCCATAAACTCCTCTCCACTGGAAAGATGTCATCCCTTCCTGTCTTCTGGTTTCCATTGCCGCTGTAGTTGTGATTCTCTATCGGGTTCCTCAGTTTCTTCCTGGCTGGTCTCGGATCCCTGGCCCTTGGTGTCCTGTAGCCCCACTGCAGCATATCTGCGATGGTTGATTTTCTTTAGACTTGTACTTGTTTGAGTAGCTCTAGCGACGTCTCAACCCTAGCCCTCAGACACTGTCTCCTCATTCTGTCACCTCCCCCATCTCCTTGGCTCTGCCCTTTTCCTCCCATGTGAAGCCTTCCCATTCCAGCCTCCCTGTCCCCCAGGCACCTGCTTCTCACTTCAGCTCTGCCTAGTCAGCTGTGTGGGAGGTGTCCCCAGCCCACTGGTCTGTTTAGCTGTGTCTAACTGGCTACAGAAGCTGCTGACTGTGTGTCTTGTGTCAGTGCTGTGTTTCTCATTTCTAAAAATTCCAGGTTCATTTTCAGATGAGCTGGCATTTCTTTACAGTGTCTTTTTCATTTTTCCCGCCTACAATTCTATTTTTATGACTTTACCACTTGTCTTTTAGAGGTTCTACTCAATAGCTGATTTTGTGATGTTCCTGGAGTTTGGCCCTACACACCATGAGGCCCTGAGTTGGCTTATGCACACCATGTTTCTGACCCTCTCACCAGCTTGAATCCATTCTTAGGGTCTCTGCATAGTCTAGTGTCAAAATGACTCCTCTGCACCATAAAAGTTTTAGATTTCCTTCTGCCTGGTACCATGGAGACATTGCCAGTCAGGGATAAGGTTTTTGTGTGTACAGCTGTGTGTTCAAATTCATGTGTGTGCAGGTGCACATGCACTTGTGTACACATGCATGTGGAAGTCAGAGGTCAACCATGGGTACTGTTCCTCAGGAGGCACCCACCTTTTCTTTTGAAACAGGGTCTCTTGCCGGGTGTGGTGGTGCACGCGCTTAATCCTAGCACTTGGGAGGCAGAGACAGACGGATCTCTGTGAGTTCAAGGCCAGCCTGGTCTACATATGAGCTCTAGGCCAGCTGGGTCTACAAGGAGACCCTGTCTCAAAAAGACCAAAAGATAAAAGAAAAAAGAAAAAAAAAGAAACAGAGTCTCTCACTGGGACTTGGCACTCATCAATTGAGCTGTGCTGGCTGATTAGCAAGCCCCAGGGATCTGCTTGTCCCCACCTCCACAGCTCTGGGATTACAAGCATATACCACCACACCTGGCCTTTTACTTGGGCGCTGGAGATTTAACTTGGGTCCTCATGCATGCACAACAAGTAGTTTGCTGACAGGTCTATTTCCCCAGCATCCAGAGGCAAGATTTTATATTAAATGTCTGTTCATTCCCAAACCAAGCAAATTATGTAGAAATCCAACATTGAAAAATAGACCTGATCATCAAAGAAGCTTGTTTTGAAACAGAGTCTAGTACAGAGTTCCACAGCTGGTCACACACAGAAAACAAATATCTAAGAGACGCCCAACCCTAAGTTAACACATTTACTATGGAACCTCTAAACCTAAGGCTCACGGAACATAGTGGAACAAATGGTAGAGAGAATGCTAATGAATCTCTCAGCTCTCGTCAGTGAAGCTTCCTCATGCAACAAAGGGCAAGGAACACAGAAGGTCACAACTGGCCACAGCGTGGAGAATAAGAGACTGCAGAGTACACGTCCCTGGATAGGACTCCTATGTTAAACCCCACCCACCAAGAGCTCAGAAATCATTGTGGAGGAGGAGGCGGAAAAGATTGTAAGAGCCAGGAGTGGTGCGTGACCATAAGGAAACAGTCTTACAGGCTCCTGAGAACTTGCTCATATGAACTTACAGCAGTGGTCATAGCATGCACAAGATCTTTACAAACTCAATCAGATAAAGATCTATACAAACTCAATCAGATAAAAACCAGCATAGAATGGGAAATGGGCAGGAGATCCCAACCTTAGCTGAGGAACTATTGGCAGCTGATTACTGCTGGGAGATAGTTGATCTTTAATTAAGGGAGTGACGCTAGACAGGCTGCACAGCCTCCAGTGGATGAACTTGTACCAAGAGACAGCTGGGTACACAAACTTGATTCGATAGGTGTTAAAATATGAAACAGAATGCTTAAAATCCTGTGGCAAGCTATGGGGGGTGCAGATAGGGGGGTCTAAATATGATTAAAATATATTGTATGAGGGACTGGAGAGATGGCTCAGCAGTTAAAAACACTGGCTGTTCTTGCAGAAGACCTGTGTTCGAATCACAGCACCCGCATGGCAGCTAACAACTGTCCGTAACTCCAGTTCCAGGGGATCCAACAGCCTCTTCTGTCCTCTGGGGGCATTGCACAACATGGGTGCACTTACCTACATGCAGGAAATACATGCATATACTTAAAATAAAAATAATAAAGTATTTAAATATATTGTATGAAATCCACAAGAATTCAATAAAAAATATACATTGAAAAAAAAATAGGCCTGGAATTCTGAAGGAAGGCCTTTTCCCTAATCCAGGATTCATACAAAGACAAATTCCCATCTTCTCTTCCTACAATTGGGGCTGTTTTACTGGACGGATCATACTCACAGCCTCTCCCTCCATATTGGAATTAGAGTCTAACATTCTTGATCCCAGACCTAGCACATGGCCCCAGGGTAGTCAGGGTCACACTTACCCCACAGCATCCATCCCTCTGGAGCTAGCTCCTGGGGATGTGTCTCACTTACTTGCTGGTGCACTCACTAGACAGACATTCAAAGATGACTTGAATGTCTCCTGTTCACTGGGGAATGGGGTCAGCGGGGAACTCAGCAGACCTGGAGCTGCTCATGGACCAAGGCTTCTGGGCAGAAGTGTAGTACCTGCAACAGAAAGAAAGAGGGGAATTCAAAAGATCCAGCAGAGTATTTAGTGAGCATCGACTTTTGACAGTGACCTAACCAACCATGTGCTGTGAATCCCTGTTCCTGCAGCTTTGACCCCCCAGGTCCCATGTCAGCTGGGATGTCCTGTGAAGTGCTGGTCACCTTCAAGCCCATGGTGAGTGAAGGGTCACCCAGGGGCCCTGATTTTTATGTTTTATCAAAAAAAAATCAGCATCATTCTGAAACACAGGCAAAATAAAAGTGGCCAGCAGGTATGATCGAGGACCTCTCACCTACTGTAAAGTGTGTTCTGCTCATGTAAGGCCCAGAGGGCCTATGACACTCTGGGACTCTTACCCTAGAGGCACACTTGGCATTGTAGCAGGCAGATCCAGGCCATGGCTATATAGATGCAGCCTGTGTAACTGGGTCATTATAGAAGTTTATGGTGATTGGGATTGTTTTGTTTTCTAGATAAATAAAGATCTGGAAGGAAATGTCTCATTTTTGGCTCAGACGGGTGGATTTTCTGTTCCATTGAAATGTTCAACGAAGAAATGCTCTGTAAGTTCAAGTAATCTGAGCTTGGCTGTGAACCCCAGTAAGGGCTTGTACCCCTTTTAGTATAAAAGACATGGGGCCAGAGTTCTACCACAGACCTTGGTCAGATAACTCCAACCTGGGCCTTATGTGGGTAACATGAGGTATTCTGAAAAGGTGAGTGATTGCATCCAAGTTGGTAATTTCTAGAGGAATCCTGTTCTCTATGGGGCCCCCAGACTGAGAGGCCCACAGCTCAGAAGAGAAAGGATCCATCTGAGACTTCAGTCCTCTCTGCAGCTCCTTAGTGTGTACTCAGACACTTTTATTGTGATTAAATTTCCAAATATAATGAGAAACAGAATCATGTAATGAATTTCCACATACCCACTTACCTATATTTAATCATTTTTAACACCTGCCGCATTGGCATCATTGAGATACCATTTCTTCTTTTCTTCTTCTTTTTCATTTTTCGAGACAGATTCCCCCCAGTTAGCCTGGAACTTTCTATGAAGACCAGGTTGGTCTCAATCTCACAGAGATCTGCCTGCCTCTGCTTCCTGAATGATGGAATTAAAGGAGTACACCTCCACACCTGGCTTATACCAACCATCTATTTTTTGTTTTTAATTTTGGTTTTTTTGTGTGCGTGTATGAATGTTTTGCTTAAATGTAAGTGCACCTGTGTCATGCAATGCCTATAGAGGCCAGAAGAGGGCATGGGATCACTGGAACTGGAGTTATGGATGGTTAGCTACCATGTGGGTGCTGGGAACCAAACCTGGGCCCTCTGGAAGAGCAGCCAGTGCTCTTAGCTGCTGAGCCATGTCTCTAGCCCCTATACCATCTTGTTTTTTTTGTTTTTTTTAATTTTTTTTCTTGGTCTTTTAAAAAATATATATTTTGTGTGTATGAGTGTATTGCCTTGCATGTGTGTAAGTGCACCCATGTGGTGCAATGGCAATAGAGGTCAGAAGAGGGCATCAGATCCCCTGGGACCGGAGTTATGGACAGATAGATGTTAGCCGCCATGTGGGTCCCTGGAACTGAACCTGGCTCCTCTGCAGGAGCAGCCAGCACACTTAACCAACTGAGCCATCTCTCCAGCTCCCTTTTCTTGGTCTTTTTGAGGCAGGTCTCCCTGTACCCCAGCTGGCCTGGAACTTACTATATAGACCAGGCTGGCCTCAGTCTCACAGAGATCCTCCTGCCTCTGTCTCCCGAGTGCTAGAACTAAAAGTGTATGCCACTACACCTGGCTATACCATCTATTTTTGAGGGCCCACTTCAAAAGAAATTACCAATATTATACTCAACATCCTTAAAAAGACTTCGGTATATCTAATAAACATGGAACCCACCATATCATTGTTTCTTTCCACAGTGACACTGCACAGTAAGCAACTGAACTCGGCACTTATGCAGTCCTACTGGCTGCAGGTTTACTGGGATCTTCCTGACCTGTGTTAAGCTGGGCCAAGTGTCTCTGCTCCAGAGATCCTACCATGGCCATGGCCATGGCTTCCAGCCTCTAAGGCAGTAGCCACCTGGCATGAGCTTCTCATGGAGGATGACTAGAGATGGAGAAATGAAAGCCAGCAGCACAAGCAAATTTCTCGCTTCTCTTAGTTCACACCTCCCAACAATTCACTAGCCAAATCAAGGAACATGTCCAAGTCCAAAAGAGTGGGGCAGAGAAAAGCCTTCTCCAGAGTCCTGGGTGAAACAGAGTATGAAGAATGGAGGCGGTGATCTGCACACTGCACTGACACAACTAGCAGAATACCCAATTCTCACTGAATGCTCAGTCCACATGGAATGTGCCCAAACCATCTTTTATAATTTATTTTTGGTTCCCTTGAGATCATATTTGATTATTACATGATTGAGTCTCTTTCAGCCCAGAATGGCAGCCCCTCCACAACTTTTGGGTCATAAAACTTACCAAGCTAGTTTTCTTATAGAACATTCTGGATTTGTATGATTGGTCCCTGTTACATTTAATATGTCTCTCTGTTCCCTGTATTCCTTTAAACTGGATACTAGGTTAAAACTGGGAACCATTCTGTTTCTTTCTCTTTTTGAGACAGGATCTCCCTATAGCAACAGCTAGCCTGGAACTCCATATGTAGACCAGGCTGATTCGATCTCACAGAGATCTGCCTGCCTCTCCCTCCTAAGTGCTAGGATTAAAGGCATGTGCCACCATGCCAAATGAATGAACCATTTTCTTTTTTTAAATATTTTATTATTTTTGTTTTATGTGTGTGCTTGTATTGCCTGCATGTAGGTAAGTGCATCCATGTCGTGCAATGCCTGCGGAGGACAGAAGAGACTGTCGGATCCTCTGGAACCAGAGTTACAGACAGTTGTTAGCTGCCATGTGGGTGCTAGGATTCGAACCAGGGTCTTCTGCAAGAACAGTCAGTGTTCTTACCCGCTGAGCCATCATTTTCTTTTTCAAGAAAGGAGGATTCCTTCTGGCTCATGGCTTGAGGGTGCTGTCTGCCAGGCTGAAGAAGTCATGGCGGCAGGAGTGTGAGGCAGCTGGTCACTATGCTTCCTCAGGAAGCAAAACAATGCTGGTACTCAGCTTACTTTCTCCTTTTTTGAAAAGTAATTCATATTGAGTTTTTGCTTTGACAATTTCATAAATGTATAAAATGTATTCCAATTATTGTAACCCTCCACCCTCTCTAATTATCCTCCTACCTCTAAATCCCCTCCCCTCCCTACAACTTGGGAACCATTTTTGGCAAGCTGGTACTTTGTGTCTCATGTGCCTTTGTTCACTCTCACAAGGCTCCTGCCCCAGACCCTGAGGCTCACCTGTGCAAGGGCTTCTTCTCTTAGGGCACGTCTAGACTGGTCTGCAACAACAGTAAGAACTTTGCCTCAAAGGGAAGAAGTCAATCTGTATGTAGCAGGCACATATAAGCTGGAGCCTGGGCTTCTCTGTGGAGAGTTCTTGTCTTCTCGCCTCAGTGGCCCCTTGCCATGCCTCAGGTGGAACCCTGTGGCCCAGGCCTGGCACCCTTTGCCTGAGTGCAGAGAGCTGGTGCCTATAGCCCATGGAGGGCCTAGACAGCATAATCCCTGTCTGAAAGGCAGTGCTTTCAAGGCCCTATATCTTCAGCACAGCTGACCTCACCCCAGAATGACAGTTGTCAGCTTGCCTACCGCTGTCAGACCCAAATGCCTCCACTTACTTAATCCTCATCGCTCCTCAATTAGGGAGCTGCTAGCTTGACTTAGGAGCCCCAAGTTGCTCTCGTCACTTTATGCATCTATGACTTCTGATGTGGGCCATATCCCTAGTGTGCAGTGCACAGCTTACACAAACACTCATGACAGCCCCTCACATGCTGTCTGGAGTAAGATGCAGGCCTTCCTGTGAAGAACTAGAATCTGGCTCCACCTGGCCTCCTGGGGTTGCAACTGATATGATAGAGAGGAAACCTTACCTAGGAGGCTGTTGAGTCCTCTGGGTTCTGGTTCCTGCAAGGTCCCACTCTCCTTGTGAGGGATCCTGGCATCCTGAAGTGGCCTCTCAGGTTTACTCCTGTGTTCTTTGACAGCTGTCCCTTGACAAGGAGCTCATTGACTTCGGCAGCTATGTGGTGGGTGAGACCACATCCCGGACCATCACTCTGACCAATGTTGGGGGCCTGGGCACCAAGTTCAAGTTTCTCCTGGATTCTGAGTTCTATGAGATGAATGAGTCCCAGCCTGTTGCTAAAAGAGTAAGTGCCCTGCCAGCTTCTTATCAGCAGCCATGGCTGCTGTGGGTCTCCGTGGTTCTGCTCAGCCAAGGGCAGGGTAAGGAACCTCCCAGGCATATGGACAATCCCATATGTATAAAAATAGGTGAAAAAATAAGAGACAGCAGGTCAGGGGAAAGGAGGGGAATATGGGAACAGACATCAGTAAGAACAGAAAAGTCTGGATCCCATGAGAACACCTGACGTCTGACCTTAGGAGCAGTGGCAGCACAATGCTATCCCTCTTAAGGCATGTGGTGACAGGCGTTGGCCATGAATATCAGGAGTTCCTGAAAGGGGCAGAGTCCAAACAGCTCCATGGGATACCACATGACTGCACTTACATCTGCTCACAGAGCATGAAACGGGCCTTTGTCTTTCCCAGGAAGGCAATGCAGGGACCAACAGCTTCAGGGGTCCCACTCAAGAAGCCCACTCACCATGCTCATGGATTGTGGGGATAGTTTGGGGAAGAGAAAAGGAACTGCAACTTCTCTTACATGCTTCTACATATTTGAGCCTTCTTACAAGAAGCAGGAAGCTCCTGCCTCACAGTCTTGTTGGCTCTGTTCAGGAGTCTCAGCAAAGACCTCTGAAATGGCCTCACCCAAGGCACAATATAGAATGAGCAGGACAGCCATGGCCAAGACAGTGTGGATGGCAAGCTGCTGTGGCAGGAGGGGAGGAGATGTGGTCAGAACCAGAGAGCATGGCAGGGGAGATGAGGGGCCTGAGACCCAAGCTTGCTCTGGGAGGTGGGGATAGGTTTCCCAGGGTTTCCCTGAGCATCTAGTTCTGCCAGCTATGGAGGAATGAGAGTCAGCTCAACCCAGGCTGGAGTAAAGCCAGCCTCTGGACCCAGCATAGTGTGAAGGGAGCAGACTCAGCAGCTCACAGATGGAGTCCAAGGTGGGGCATCCAAACTGGTGACAGGGAGGGGCCACCTTGTCTAAGACCAAGGAGAAAAAGGGTCATCCCCATCCCAGGTAAGACCCAAGACACACAGAATGAGAGCCATGGACATGTGAGACCAACAACCCTGGGCCCAGATGGAGCTATGTCTTCTCTAGGGCATTCCTGGTGACAAGGGTATCTGGGGAGTTGAATGGGAAAAGGCAATGAAGGCACTGAGTTCCTTTACAGAGCAGCCTCTTCGCCTATGAGGAGAAAAGTGTCTACGACAAGCTCCTCACCAATCTCTCTGAACAACAGCTTGACAGCAATGGGTCCTCACCGCTGGACATCCAGAACCGAAAGGAGTCCAAGAAACTGGATGGTGAGAGTTGGGGAGACCTATGAGTGGGCAGCAGGTACCTACCTCAAGGCCCCGCCTTGGTATCTAAGCCAACCAGGAATCTTGGCCTCAGATGGATGCTAAACAGGGAAGAGGGCTGGCATGGGCAGGAAGTCCTCCCAGGGGAAGGTACTCTGAGCACAACACCCTCAGAAGCTCAGACCAACCAGAGGAACCAGAGGGTGAAGAGTCTCAGCTGGAGACTGACAGGCCTGTGTCACAGGTGATGCTGAGAAGAGCTCAAAGGTGGAGTTTTCTCAGGGATTCATTTTAAGTGATAGTAAAAAATTTTTTGAATCTCCTGGGGCTACAGGGAAACCCTGTCTCAAAAAGACCAAAAAAAAAAATCTCATAAAGTCAGCTGTCTACTGGTTATGGTATGGACTGAAATCCTCCTCATGTTGAAACTAGCAGTGTATCGACAGAAACCCCAGCCTTAGACTGCAAGGCTGGCCACATTGCGTGGGCAAGTGTGAGGGCAGCACACTGAGGGTCCTGAAGGCTCTGCCTGTGCAATGGGTCCCTGCAGGCACTGGTTTTTATTGGTACCACTAGGCTTCTGTCATTCCTGTGGCTGAGATGGGTATTTATTTCATACCAACTGTAGAGGAAAGTAGATGACACATGAGGACAATTTGAAAAACTGTGAACAATCTGTGCTAAGTTAGAAAAAGAAGTGGCCTGTCCCTTACCTTAATGCAGGCTGCTCTCCACCCTGTGACACTGCCTTGAATTGTCTTCATTACTTCCCTGCTCTTCTTTGTAGTTTTCCATTTTAAGATTTCCATACTAGCTGGGCATGGTGGTACCTGCCTTTACTCCCAGCACAGGCTGGCAGATCTCTGTGAGTTAGAGGCCAACCTGGTCTACATAGCGAGTTCCAGGCCACCTGGGGCTACCGGGAGACCCTGTCTCAAAAAAAAAAAAATAAAAAAGGAAGAAGAAACATTAGGAAAAGTACACACACACACACACACACACACACACACACACAACACACATTCTCTCTCTCTCTCTCTCTCTCTCTCTCTCTTTCTCTCTCTCTCTGTCTCTCTCTCTCTCTCAAAGCCAGACGTGCCTATAATCCCATCACTTGGAAGTTGGAAGCAAGATCAGGAGTTCTAGCCCATTCTCGGCTACATATCAAGTTCAACCCAGCCTGGGCTACCCTGTCTTTAAAACAAACATGAAAAAAGCCTAGCAGGAGAGCAATTGGTAGAGCTTTGACGCCGTCCATCGGTTTGGGAAGAACTGACATCTTGGCACATTGAGTCTTCTACCCATAAGGATAATATGTTTCCCCGCTGAATTGAGTCACCTTTACTTTTCCTCAGTACTGCCTCAGAGTTTACAGTAAGAAGTCTTGCATTTTTAGTTTATCCAATATGAGTCTTTGACTTTTTCCAGACTGATTATTGATTTAGTTGGGTTTGTTTCTACGACCTTATTTCTCTTCCAGAAGGAGACGTTACAACCGTGGCCAGTGTTACAACCATGGTTCCCAGCGAGGAGCAGGCAGAGATCACCCTGGGCGAGGTCAGCCAGCCTGTCCTACTGAACCTTGGCTGCCTCCAGCCAAGAGGAGGCCCCTCATCTTCTTCAGCCACTGACATCCCTACTCTCAGGTGGCCCTTCCATCTGACCAGAGCCAGGCTGGATCATCAGCCTCCAAGAACCTGTAGTCTCAGTCACACCAAGGCAGCTGTCCCATGATGGGACTGGGCAGACACAGAGCAGCAGGGCCAGTTTCCTATGTGTGGGGTAGCTTGGAGAGGACACAGTGAGCCCTCCATGGCTAGAATGTGGTGTGTGTACACACAAGCTGGAGGCGAGGATGCAGTGAGGGGTTCAGGCTGCTTCCACTTCCCCCACGGTTGGGATCCCACAACAATAAGCATTCAAGGGCAGGGCCAGCCTCAGGACCAGTGCCTTCAAGTGACCATATGAGCATGGTCCCACCACCGCCCATCCTTGCAGCAGTGCTACATAGCGTCAGGGGTAAGCACCCTAATAAAAACCATGATGCTACCTTCTGATGTCATGACACTCCTCTTATGCAGGTTACAGAGGGGGACATTGGTCCCTTCAGTTCCATCAAAGTGCCCATCATCTTTGCCCCAGTTATCCCAGGAGAGGTCCAGACCAAGTTCAAGGTCATGTTTAAGAATTCCCAGTGCCCAACAGTGAGTATCCCTGCTGCTGTTTGATGTGAGCCCTCCTCTCCACAGCCATCGAGCAGCTGCCCTTAGTGCCGTGAGGTTGCCATTTGCTCCTGCTTGGGTCACTTGTTGGTGGCACAAACGATTGACCCCTTAGTCAATACACACAGATGTGCGTGTGAGTGTTCACATGCACACATTACAGAGCTCTTGCTTTTTCTTTTCATTCACTCTCGTTCTCTTTCTTTTCTCTTTCTCTTTCCTCCCTTCTCTCTCTCTTTTTTTAACAGTGCTAGGGATAAAACTCAAGGCCTTAAGCAAGCATTCTCCCTCACTTCAATCTCTAAGCCTTATTCTCTTTTGGTCTTTTTGAGACAGGGTCTCCCTGTAGCCCCAGCTGTCCTGGAACTCACTATGTAGACCAGGCTGGCCTTGAACTCACAGAGAGCCGGCTGCCTCTGCCTCCCGAGTGCTGGGATTAAAGGCGTACGCCACCACGCCCAGCTCTTTTTTTTAATGTGTATGTGTTTGATGTACATGCCTGTGTATGAGTATTTGTATGTTTAGGCAAGTGCAAATGCCTATCTGTGTAAATCTGTAGAGGCCAGAGGTTGATACTGGACATCTCCATCAGTCATTCTCTACCTTCAATATTGAAGCAAGGTCTCTCACTTGAGCCCAGAGCTCACTATTCAGGGAGTCTAGCTAATTAGCTGACTTCAGGTATCCTGTCTCTTCCTACATGCTGGGATCATAGGAGGGCCTCCATATCCACTGAGCATTATATGTGTGCTGGGGACCCAAACTCTGGTCCCCTGAGTGCAGCAAGCACTTTGACCTGTTGAACCTTCTCCCTAGCTCCCCTAGCCCCTAGTCTTAATTGCTAGAAATGTCTTTCTTAATTTCCAAGAAGTTAAATTTTTATTTATTACTTTTTATCATTTATTTATAAGTTTATTAAATTATGATCAGGGAGTGTGATCTCTGGGTGAATGTGAACTTTGCAAGGATGTATAAAGAAATGTTCTCCTCTGAAGTGGAGCCTCAGGACAGCCCAAAGAATGGCTTTTGGACAATCCAGCTTGCCAAGTGTGAATGGTAAAGAATGGTGGTCCCACCACCCATGAATTACAGTTTTTATTTGAGGACAACAGGCAGTGGGGAGTGAAGAGCAAGCAGGGAGGGAGTAGTGATTAAAGGCCCTGGACAACAGCTGTTTATAGCAAACCTGCCCTTATAGCCAAGAATAAATGCTAATGCTATCAGTATCCATTATCCTGTCGGTTTGATAGATAATTTGTGTATGTTCTTGCCTCAACTGCTGACCAGGGTCTCCTGCCCAAGTAACCACAGTCATATCAGGGTGTCAGGCCCAGAAAACTGGGGACCTACAAGCTTTTTATTTCAAACAATTTTTAAATTGCTTAAATTATTCTATGTGACCACTGGCAAGATTTATCTTGAAATGTAGTAAGTGCTGCTTAACAGCTGTGTACAAGCTTAGTAACAGGAGTACCCCCTTCTGTTCCTGCCACAACATCTGTCTTTCCCCCCGGGATGTTTTATGTTTCACATTGTTGGGTATCACAGGGCAGGTTTACTGGTTGGAGCATGAGCAGCTACATGCTTTTTCAGATTGAGTTGTGCTTTCGTCAGACCCAAATACCCTTTGTCTCTCCACTTCATAGCTATCTTATTTTGTTCTTGATCTGTCTTTTCTTTTTCTTAAAAGACAAAGTCTCCCTATATATGTAGCCCAGGCTGAACTCAAGATCCTCCTGCCTCTGCCTATCTGCTATTTATCCTTGATATATGTTTGATAAACTCAATTCAAAACTAGATCATTCTCTCAACCCTACTGAAAAATGTCCTAGAACTCAACATATGTCTTGTTTAATTATTAACCTCATACTTGTAATGCATTAAGTTGCAAAAAATCAAACCATGAAACTTATGCCTGAGTACTATGTTAACACTCACTGGGATCGCCTACACTGCAAAGTAAACATATTGTGCTTACTTGCTCCAATTCAGTTGTATTTCAGAGCTGTTGGCATTGCCATTGACGTCCCAGTCTGGGTGCCAAGGACCACTGTGGACCTAAAGATCTGCACCTATGACCGGCTCTATCAGGATTCCATCACTGTCCGCACACGGTGAGCCCCCTGGTGGCCAGCAGGAATGCCATGCCTGGGGCAGGCTACATACTGGCCCTGAATGGTCACCCTGGGTGGCAAAGAGGCCTGGGCAGTCAGTTAAGCTATGGACCTTGAAGAAGACAGTCCTAAATATCTGGGGGATCCCAGTGTCATACAGGCAGAGAAAGGGGCCACAAGCTGTGGAACACCAGATACCTGAAAGAGCAAGAAATTAATTTTCCCCTCCAATCTCCATCTTGACCTTAGTCTAGTGAGGCTACTTTGGCCTTCTGTCCTCCAGGACACTCAAAGAAAAAGTCTGTGTTGGGTTGGGTCTGTGTTTATAGAAAATGTTTCAGCAGCCATGGTAAACACATACTAGCTGCATTCCCAGGGCACTAGATGAGGGTCCCAAGTGGCAAGTGGCCTCAGTAACATAGAACATAGCAGTAACAGGGAACATGGATGACGTCTGGGAAAAGACGTGTGTTTATTTGTTGTTTTACAAGGACATCCAGATACTAGAAAAAAAAAATCTTTTCCCTGAGTAGCATCATGGATGGTGAATTCTGAGAGAGGAGCTTCCAAAGTTTCATGACCACACCAAGTCTAAGCCTCTAGCCCCCAGACCAAGAGGCAGAAGCTGCTGGCACCAAGCCCCTGGCAGTACCCCTCCACCCATGGCAAGCACCACTTATGACCTAGGTAGAACAGTACCCTCATGGCCTGGTCCCCAGCAGGCCTTGCCTTGCTCCATGAAGATACAACATGTTGATATGTCCAAACTACTGCCCTGGGACCAGAGGTATATAAGATAGCAGTACACTGCCACAGTCAGGGAAAAAGCCATTTTCATGAAGGACTCGGGCCTTGGAAGAAGGGTTTATTGCACTTATTTGGTGGAATGAGTTGAACAGAGATTTTTTTTTAACAGGTTATAAGAACTTCCTGGTCACATGGGGAAGGAACAAGAGAATTGCGCTTTTTCAGTCTTACCAAAGGCACACAATTGTCAGTGTAAATGTGTTTTGTGATTTTTAAATTCAATATCATTTGTAGCTTTGTTTAATGTGATGGGTTTTACATACATGGGTATAGAAAGGTGTTAATTCATGAAGACCATTTGTGGTACATGCCCAGAACCAGCACTGGTCACTGTGTGGAAACAGTGGAGCTGGCTGGTCTCCATGGGATCCTTATCCCCAGCAGCAAGAGTTCAGGGGCCCTGGTCAACTATGGTGGTGAACACACATTATCAGGGGGTATGTCTCTGAGACTTAAAGACAGGTCAGAGACCACTTCAACTCTGATAGCCACCTGGGTTCTGGTAGCCATCCAAAGAGCTGAAGAGAAGAAAGAGGCCTTTCCTTCTGTATCCCGCTTGGTCCTCCACTGTGGCATGCCCATTGTGCAGTTGTCAACACTTCCTTAAGAGGTGGCTGCTTCCATCAGTGGCCCTCATAGCCCTCAGGGTCTGTGTCATGACTTTATTAAGTTCATGTCTGAATCACTGTGGACTCAGCCCTCAAGGGAAAATCTGGGCAAAGATCTGGAAGACAGTGGGCCACAGACCCTGGACAACCATCAGACAGAAAAAGACCATTTTAGAGAGGCACCTGAAGGCTACAGAAGTTTCTAGGACCATTGCTCATGAGTCGTAGGCAGACGAGGCCTCCCTCTCCAGGCTACCTTTTTCTCTTTTATCTGATGGTTCCACCTACAGGGGCAAAAGGAGACTCTCATAGGGAGCAAGCAAGGGCTCTTCTCCAGAGCTGCTTAGAAGGGGATTTGGCCACTGGCACTGCCTTTGGCAGGTCTCTTGACTCAGACAGGGGAAAGGAGGGCCTCTTACAGAGATAGAAAGGCATGGGTGGGCCCTACTGTGGCAATGGCCCTGTGCAAACTGGAGGCAGCTAACCTTCAGGCTCTGAAAACTGAATTGGGTCATATTTCAGCTAAAACATTATACATATATACATATACATATATGTATATACAGATACATATATCTGTATATACATATCTTTTTGAGACAGGGTCTCTCTGCAGCCCCAGCTGGCCTGGAACTCGCTATGTAGACCAAGCTGGCCTTGAACTCACAGAGATCTGCCTGCTTCTGCCTCCCGAGTGCTGAGATTAAAGGTGTGTGCCACCATGCCTGGCTGTCATTTACTTTTACAAATTTCTCAGGGCTGGAGAGATGGCTTGGCACTGACTGCTCTTGCAGAGGACCCGGGTTCTGTTCCCAGCACCCACATGGCAGCTAACAACCATCTGTAATTCCAGTTCCAGGGAATCCAACACCCTCTTCTGACCTCCATGGGCATTGCACGACATGGGTGCACTCACATACATGCAGGCAATACACTCATACACACAAAATAAAAACAATAAAAAGAATTTCTCAAGTTGGATATGTTGGCACATGCCTATAATCTCAGTACTCAGGAGGCTGAGGTAGGATGATGAGTTCTAGTCCAGCCTGGGCTACATAGTGAGACTCTCTCTTTAGCAAAACGACTTGGCAGATAAAGGCATTTGTCATGAAAACCTGGCAACCTGAGTTCACTCCCCAGAACCCACATAAAGGTGGTAGGGCAGAACCAACTCCACAAAGTTGTCATCAACTCATGTGCTACGCATGTTGGTGCACACACACGTCGTGCACACATATACACACACAATAAGGTTTTAACGTTGTTTGAATCATATTTTAAAAGCAACCGTTATTGGGCGTGGTGGTACATGCCTTTGATCCCAGCACTCAGGAGGCAGAGGCAGGAGAATTCAAGGCCAGCCTGGTCTACATAGTGAGTTCTAGGTCAGCTGGTGCTACAGGGAGACCCTGTCTCAAAAACATCAAAAAAAAAAAAATACCCAAAACAAAAGAAAACAACCCTTAAGAAATAGAGCTTTGCTGGGTGTGGTGGCATATGCCTTTGATCCCAGCCCTGCAGAGGCAAGTAGATCTCTATGAGATTAAGGCCAGCCTGGTCTATATAACGAATTCCAGACCAGCGGGGGTTGTGGGGAGACTGTGTCTCAAAAAAGAAATAGGGCTTTGAAAATGTTCTCTAATCAATTTTGTTCCAGGGACAAGCCCCCTGGTAAGTTATCATTCCCAAGTGCCCATCCCTAAAAACATGTACATATATAAGCAAAAACAAACGTTCTCCGTAAGTTATAAAAAACTTCCCTCTAACAGTCATGGTACTTGTGCTTGGCTCAGAGTGGGTGTGCACTGCCCACTGGTTCCATTATGAGAAATACCTCAATGGTTCAAAGGATTAGGCATGCAGAGTCACAGTCCTGTGACCACCTGACCTGCTGCCCCGTGACCTGTTGCAGATCAAAGGCAGCCCTGCGTCTGAAGTTTGAGGTCTGCAAGGAGCTGAGAGGTCACATAGAGCTTCTACCAGAAACAGGCTACATCCAGGCCCTGTCCTCCTACTCAGTCCAGCTCAAGTTCCTGCCTCGGTGAGAAGTGGCAGAGGCCTGGGCCATGGTGGGGAGGTGTGGGCTCCAGGAGTGCCTTGTGCTGCTCACTCTGCTGGGCACACATCATTCGGGATGTGCCACCTGCAGGTAAGATCACCCAGGCCTTGACTTCTACTCAGACACAGTGGGCATCCCACTGTCGTGAGATCTTGATCTCTTTTCATCAACTCAGGTTCTGTGTCAGACTGTGGCATACACTTGAGGTTTGTTTCTTTACCTCCATCCCAAGACTCTATACATGGTGGCTAGCAACCATTTGTATCTCCCTTCCCAGAGGATCCAGTGCCCTCTTCTGACTTCCTAGGGCATTGTACCCATAGATGTGCTTACATACATGCATATAAAACACTCATACACATAAAATAAAAATAAATATTTGGGGGGGGTTCTTCTTGAGACAGGGTCTCCTGTATCCCCAGCTGACTTGGAACTCGCTATGGAGACCAGGCTAGCCTCAAACTACAGATCCATTGCCTCTGCCTCTCAAGTGCTAGAATTAAAGGTGTGTGCCACCACTCCTGGCTTATTTCTGTGATTATATTAATATCTTTCTGTAATCAGAGAACAATCCTGTTAGTTAGTTAGTTAGTTAGTTAGTTAGTTAGTTAGTTAGTTGTTAGTCTTTTTTTGTGTGTGTGTGTTTTTGAGACAGGGTCTCTCTGTAGCCCCAGCTGTCTGGAACTCACTATGTAGACCAGGCTGGCCTTGAACTCACAAAGATCTGCCTGCCTCTGCCTCCCAAGTGCTGGGATTAAAGGCGTGCGCCACCACGGCCAGCTAGTTTTTAGTCTTTTATTTGTTTTGAGACTGGTTCTCACTATAGCCCAAGCTGGCCTGAAATTATAGGCTTGTGCCACCATCCCTGGCTTTTTCTTTTTTTTTTTTGTTGTTTGTTTAGTTGGTTTTTGGTTTGGGGTTTGTTTTTTTTGGGTTTTTTGGGGGTTTTTTTTGAGAACTTTTTTTAAAGTTAGCGTACAGAGTCCTGGGTTTCATTTCACCATGCTTATACACATGTGTCATCATACTGTATTCTCATTCATCCTCCACCCTTACCCCTTCTGTTTATTGAAATGTAACTGTTCAGGTATGTTCATGTCTCTTAGTCATTGTCCACTTGCCAAGATAACTCATTCGAAGTGATCTGTGACTTGTAAAGACAACACATCTAAAGACTTCTGAATCCATAAGAGTGCGTATCAGCTGCCAATTCTACAAGACAAGGGGAAATTTGGCACAATGTGAATCTCACATCTTCTTTGTTTCACCTATGACACAGCTCTTATGTGACTTCAAAGCACCAATTTTAGATCAGTTTTGTTGTTGTACAAAATATAAAGAAAAGTGTATTCAAGTGGACTCTACCTCTTACAGACACTCCCTTCCAGAAGATGCAAGGAAGTATTTTAACAAGGACAGCGGAGTTCTGGAGGCTCCAATGACAATCTGGGTGGCTGACCAGGTCTGTGCAGGGCACCTTCGGGGAATTCCAGGCACTCCTAAGGAACAGAGGGCTGCTGCGGGGGGCCAGACTCTGTGAGCTTATGAGGATACCTAAAAGTTCAGAACCCACCCTTACTTCCTAGCTGGTGATATCCAGTGACCCAACAGGCAGTATTGCCTCCCAGCCACACAGCTCATGCACAGTGCAAAAGAAGGGAGGGTACTCAAGGGCCCAAGAGAGGCCTCCTGTTCCGGTCCAGGCAAGCTGGATCAGATACCTCACCTACATGTGCACACAGGAAGTATACCTACACACTCGAATGGGGATGTACACATGAACACACAGGTTTACACAAGTATACACATTATGCCCTCTTCAGAGTGGGTATACATATGTATGCACTTACACATAGTATATCCACACACACACACAATCACATGCCCTCACTGGCATACCTGGCTGGTCCTTCAGCTGCTGCCTGCATCCCTCCTCTAATCTGTACCTTGTAATGTCAGCTCAGATGCTCACCAGGGAACACTGGAAAATGGACTGGTTGAGAGTCAAGTTCTGAACACAAGACAGCAAAACACGAGGGCCTTTATCATTTGGGGGATGTTGCATAAAGCTTTGCAGTGACTGAGAATGTTCTTTCCCCTTTGCACCTCAGATCAAACCAGTGGGGTTCACCGTCCAAGCCACTGTCACCACCTCAGACCTAGAAATCAGCCCCTCAGAAATAGACTTTGGCTACTGCACCATCTACGAGGCCATTAGGACAGAGATCAGCCTCAGCAACCTCTCACTGTTGCCCCAGGAGTTTGGGTTCGTTGGACTTCCCAAGGTACCTGCTATGGTCAGACCCTGGAAATTTAGGGCAGGACATGACAGCCACTTTCCAGGTCCAGGCATTGGACGCCAGCAGCTCTGCTACCCTGTATACCTCGGTGCTGCCTCCCAACTGTCTTGTCATATCCTTGCTGCCCCTGCTCCCTGATTCCTCATGTTTTTGGCTGTGTAGTACACCCCAAAAGCTTCAGATTCTCCCCACCCTGCCTTCCAAAACCTTTTCTACTCAGAGCACACAGGGAAGTCCAAGAGGATGCTCAGACCTGGCTGCCCTGGGGCCATCCCATGAGGACCTCATATTTACTCATACACACCCACATTCACATGTACACACAGCTCACACACTCTCATACCTTCCATATGTGCACCCATACCAGCATATTTACGTTACCTCCTCACACAGGGAACACGGTTTGCTAACAACTACCCTGCAGAGCACAGCTCTCACTTTGACTCTAGTGTGTTCCCATTTCTCAGTTTGTGGACATCCAGCCCAACGATGGGTTTGGGACAATCTTGCCACTGGAAACTTTGCAATTTGACGTGATCTTCCAGCCCACTAAGGCCAAGGAATACAGATTTGAACTGATCTGCAAATCAGAGATAAACCGGTAAGCCTGGCAGGCAGAGGGGACACGTGACCCTACTGCCCTTCCCACCCTGCTCCTATCCCAGCTTGCCTTGGATCCCATCAGCCTGACCTCAGGGCTTGGGTTTGGTTAGGCAGCACTTGCGGTCAGTAGGATCCCAGGACCCAGGAACAGGCAAGTCCGCATAGCCTTTTACTCTGCACTAGCTCATCCTTCTGCGTGAGGAGCTATGTAAACAAGCGAGTGAACGTGCGGTAAATATGAGCACATGTGTAAGTTCATGTGAGTATGTATGTGAGTCTGCTGGGTGTGAGAGAAAGTACTGTATATTAGTATGAGTGCACGTGAGTGGACATTTGAGAGGGCATGCACATGAGTATGGGTAGCATGTGTGTAGACATGCATGAACATGTGTATGCATACATCTCTGAAAATGTGTCCTGGAGTGTGTGACTACATGTGTAAGTCTGTGATGGCCTTTGTGAGTGTTCTAAGTATGCATGCATGAATGAGTGTGTGAGTGTGCATGTATGTGTGCATGCATGTGTGACTATTTACTTAGGTGTATTTGCATGAGCATGATTCTGTGTGGGGGTATGTAAATATATGTGTGAATATGTGAATAGGTTGTGTGTGAGCTTATGTCTATATGAGGGTGGGAGAGTGTGTAAATATGTAAATATGTGAGTGGAGCCCAGCATGGTGGCGCACGCCTTTGATCCCAGCACTCAGAAGGCAGAGGCAGGCGGATCTCTGTGAGTTTGAGGCCAGCCTGGTCTACAGAGAAAGTTCCAGGCCAGCTGGGGCTACAGGAATGCCCTGTCTCAAAAAGGCCAAAAAAAAAAAATGTGAGTGGATGTCTATGAATGTGTGTTCATGTGGGGGTGAGGATGTGTGAATGTGTCCACATGAGTGTGGGAATGTGTGTAGCCACATGGAAGTGGGCGGCCAAAAAAGCATGTGTGAGTATGTGAGTGAATGTTTGTGTGTACATGGTGGGCCCTGAGTTCAGCAAGACAGACCAGTCTCTGTGTGGCCAGAGCCTGATGACAGTACGCAGAGGTGGTGAAAGGGAAAAATGAAACTAGGTGGTTGGGTTTTGATAAGACTGGTTCTTAGCCACTTGGAGTTTTAGCCTCTGGTGACATGTTCCAGGCAGAGATGGTGAGTTGGGTTGGGTTGGGTTTTGATAAGGCTGGTTCTTGGAGTTTTAGCCTCTGGTGACGACATGTCCAGGCAGAGGCGGTGAGGCTAACATGTCAAACCCTGGAGCATCCCTGTGTCAGTTTGAAGCTGCCTCCTGGGACCTACTTGTGCCCAGCCTTTTTCTCTCTTGTCCTGTCCCCACCCATATTTCTAGCCTGTGTCACAGTTCTGTCTGGGCAGCTCTGGGCCAGGTCAGCTGGCCTCTGCAATTCACAGGCTCTGCTCTCCTGGATAGGCAGCACCAGGACCGGCTGTCCCTGGAAAGAATGAGGGTGAGTCCATGGCTCACTGGAGAGCACAGTTCAGTTGGAACCACAGAGAGAGACTGCCGACTCCCACCTCCCACAAGGGAGTCTCACCAGCCGCTAGGCTCCAACACTAGGCTGTGTGAAAAGAAGAGGGTTTGTTGTTCCCCAGTGAGGGAACCTCAGGAGCAGAAGCTCCAGAAACACCAGTGAGAAACTTTTACAAGCTTTCACCATAAAAATGGAAATTACCAAAACTTAAAACGGCAACTGTGTTGGAGAGTCACGGGAATCTCATACTAGAATGCCTTGGTAAAGAAGATGGAGCATGGCATGGAGAGATGGCTCAGCGGTTAAGAGCACTAGCTGCTCTTCCAGAGGACTCGGGTTCAATTCCCAGAACCTACACGGCAGCTAACAACTGTTCGTAACTCCAGTTCCAGAAGAGGGTATCAGATCCCTCTTCTGACCTCTGCAGGCCTTGCTTCACACGGGCACACTTACATACCTGCAGGCAAAACACTCATACACATAAAATAAAAATAAATCAACAGAAGAAAAAAAGGAGGGGAGGGGAGGGGGAGGAGGGAAAAGAAAATGGAATATGATGGGCAGAGACTTCACAGTCCCTGCTCAGGGGAGAGCTTTGTATGCCCAGGGGCTACTCCCTTGAGCACCCCAGCACAGTGACCCACAGAGTCCTTTGGATATCTGACCTTTGCCACAAATCTCATGTGTGCCAAAAGAAACAGTTGGTCTCTTCCTGTCCACTCCAAACCTGCTCCCCCTGCAAACCCATCTTCTTGTTTTATTTATTATTGGGTGTCAGCACCGTGCACACTGCACACAAGCCACAGCACTCAGAGGACAACTTTCAGGAGTCAGTTCTCTCTTTCTACCTTGGGTTCCAGGGCTCAAACGCAGCTCACCATGCTTGCACTGCAAGTCCTTCACTCTGAGCCAGCTCTCCGGCCCAGCTCCACCCTTTTTGTTGCCAGCGCAGAAAAACCCCTGCTGCCAGCCTTGACTTCTGGTTCTCTCACACCACACACCCAGGTCCTCAGTAAATCCCTCGGTTTCACTTTGGAAAGATAACCAATCCCTGCTCACCCCTCACCTGGATGCCTGGGAACCTCCCACGTGGGCATCTTGCCTCTACTCTACACCTCTCTCCGTGTAGCCTGACCTTGCTTCCTGCACGCTTCCTGTATCCCAGCACATGGCCACATCAGGCATGGTATAGCCCCCACCTGTGTAAGCCTCACTATATTACGTTGTCACCAGTAACATTTTATTTGTTCCACTTCCTCACCAGCATGTAGTGTTGTCAATCTGTGTGTGTGTGTGTGTGTGTTTTATTTTTTTTGAGATAGGGTCTCCCTGTAGTACCAGCTGGCCTACTCGCTATGCAGACCACGCTAGCCACCTGCCTCTGTCTCCCAAGGGCTGGAATTAAAGGTGTGTGGCACCACACCTGGCTGTCAATATTTTTCTTAAGAATTGAGACTATAACTCAGACTGTGAGTTTAATTGACAACAACTGGAAGAAACAAACAAGCAAACACTTGGTGAGGTGGAAGGACATGCTAATGCAGATAATGTCCCATTGCATCTCCCTAGGGGCTAATGATGTTGAAGATCTTTTATGTGCTCATATGCCATGTATACATCTTTAGTGAAGTGTTGAGATTTTTAATTTTTTTTTAAATTATTTTATGTGTATGAGTGTATTGCCTGCATGTATGTAACTGCACCTGCGTCATGCAATGCCACGGAGGTCAGAAGAGGACATCATGTAGGTTTTGGGAATTGAACTTGGGTCCTCTGCAAGAGCAGCCGGTGCTCTGAACTGCTGAGCATCTCCCCAGCCCTGGGACTTTAAATTGTTTGCCTTGTTTGTGTTCTTGTTTTGTTTTTGCGATGCTGGGTATCAAACCTAGCCCCTCAAGCATGGTGAGCAAGGGCTCTATATCCTCAACCCCAAAATGTATTTTGAATTTTGAGACCTTTTTCATATATTCTGACACAGATGCTTTGCTATGTTCAAATCTTTTTGTTAGTCTGCACCTTGTCTTCCTCCCACTGTCCTTGTGCATACGACATGGTCCAGACCCGCTTCACTCTCACGATCTTCTTGCCTCAGTCTCTTGCGTGTCAGAATTACAAGCAGACACTAACGTGCCTGACTTTGTTTTCTTTTATATTTATTCATTGTGCATGTGTGTGTTTGTGTGTATGTACATTCATGTGCCAAAGTATGCATATGGAAGTCAGAGGACAACTTGCAAGAGTCAGTTCCCTCCTTCCACCATGTGGCTACTCAGGTCGCCAGGGTTGGTGGCAGGCCCCTTTCTTTACTTGCTGGGCAATCTTTCTGGCCCTAACTTTGTTTCCTTGATAGTATCTTCTAAGATAACGTTTTTCATTTTGATTAAATCTTATTCACTAATTTCTTCTTTAATAGATCATATGTTCACTGTCATATGTAAGATATTTTTTTCCCTAACCAAGATCACAAAGCTTTTGCGTGGTCACATTTTACCGTGGGATCTATGGGTCATTTTAACTGTTTTTCTGTACAACATGAGAGACAAAGGTTGAAGTTCCCATTTTTTGCAAATGGGTTTTTCTTTTTTTAATATTTTATTTATTTTTTATGTGTATGCATGTATTGCCTGCATGTAGGTAAGTGCATCTGTGTTGTGCAATGCCCGAGGAGGACAGAAGAGGCTCTCAGATCCCCTGGAACTGCCATGTGGGTGCTGGGATTTTTTGACTGCAAGAGCAGTCAGTTTACCTCTCCAGCCCCGCAAATGGGTTTTTTTCTTTTTTTTTTCTTTTGGTCGTTTTGAGACAGGGTCTCCCTGTAGCCCCAGCTGGCCTGGAACTCACTATGTAGACAGGCTGGCCTTGAACTCACAGAGATCTGCCTACCTCTGGTTCCTGAGTGCTGGGATTAAAGGCATGCGCCACCATGCCCAGCTTGCATATAGGTTTTCAATTGTCCCAACATCATTGTTGCAACAATTCACTCTCCACCAAATTGGACCTTTATCACAATTGACCATGTTGGTGTGGGAGGTCTCCCCCCATCTCTGGTTCCTTGCCAAGTACTTTGAAGAGATCAGATTCAACTTGTTCTACATTCCTCTGCAGATGAGATTTTATTGACTGTGTCCCTCTGCTGTCCGTGAACATGTTCCTCAGGCTCAGTAACCCAATTAAACTAGTCTTTAAACCCACAGGCTAGTCAGATTCCAATTTAATTCTCTCAGAGACTGAGTGGGAAGTGGGTCAGATTCTTCACAAGGGAGCCAATAATTCCTGAGTTGTCTTTTAATGCTACTGAATTTGGGGTCACAGTCTGTATTCCAAGAAGTTCAGTCTCATCCTTGTGAAGCCAATTAAAATGGCCAAATTAATAGTAAAAAAACGGGCTTGAAAAATGGCTCAGCAGTTAAGAGAGCTTCTTTGCCTGCCAGGGAACACTGCTGTTATCAGAGTTGTTAGGGTCAGAGCCTAGGCTCTGGCTGTCCTAACAAGCTAGCCTCAGTCATCCGTCCTCAGTAGGCCAATTAAACAAATAAGTAATAGTGAAAAACAGAAAAAAAATTGATTTAAATATGGCCAGATTAGGAAGAAGAAGAAAAAGGTCAGATAACCTCCAGCCTCCACCTGCCCAAGTCCATCTTCTGGATCCTGACATGAGGTTTGGGGTTTAAGTAGAAGGCAAGGGGTAGATATAACTAAACTGTCCTGGTCAAAGTGTGGTCCTGCCCATTGGTGACCCGTCATTGCTTTGGCTCCAGTCTCTCCTGTAAAGTCCTTTGACAGGTTGTTAGAACTGTGCCAAATCTCAGTCCGGGAAACAAGCTCCCTCTCTCTGGTTGGCTCCAAGACCAGCTTAATTTTTTAATATTTTATTATTTTTATTTTGTGTGTATGAGTGTATTGCCTGCATGTATGTAAGTGCACCCATGTCACGCAATCAATCCCTGCAGAGGTCAGAAGAGAGAATTGGATTCCCCTGGAACAGTTGTTAGCTACCGTGTGGGTGCTGGGATTTGAATCTGGGTCCTTTGCAAGAGCAGCCAATGCTCTTAAGCACTGAACCATCTCTCTAGTTACCAAAACAATTTTTTTAAAGGATTTGTTTGAAGACTGGACGTGGTGGCACATGCCTTTAAAATCCCAGCACTTGCAAGGCAGAGGCAAGTGGATCTCTATGAGTTCAAGGCCAACCTGTTCCAGATAACAAGTTTCAGGCCAGCCAGGACTACATAGAGAGATCCTGACCAAAAAAAAACTTTTAAAGCCAAGGTGTTCATGCACACCTTTAATCCCAGCACTCAGGAAGCAGAGGCAGGTGGATCTCTGTGAGATTGAGGCCAGCCTGGTCTACATAGCAGGATCCAGGCCAGCTGGGGTTACAGGGAGACCCTGTCTCAAAAAGACCAAAAAATAAATAATAAATAAATAAATAAATAAATAAATAAGTAAATAAATAAGACAATGAGCTAGGCATGGTGGCACACACCTTTAATCCCAGCACTTGGGAAGCAGAGGCAGGGGATCTCTGTGAGAACTAGGCCAGCCTGGCCTACAAAAAGAGAGTTCCAGGCCAGCTGGGGCTACAGGGAGACCCTGTTTTGAAAAAACAAAAAAAATGAGAGAGACAGAGAGAGAGAGAAGGTCCTTATCTAAAAACAAAGTAGGGGCTGGGGAGATAGCTCAGCGGTTAAGAGCACTGGCTGCTCTTGTAGGAGACACGGGTTTGAGTCCCACATGGTGGCTAACAATCATCTGAAACTCCAGTTCCAGGGATCCAATGCCCTCTTCTGTCCTCCATGTGCATTTCAGAACACAGGTGCACTTACATACATGCAGATATAACATTCATATACATAAAATAAAAATAAATAAATAAGGGGATGGAGAGATGGCTCAGCAGTTAAGAGCACTGACTGCTCTTGCAGAGGACCTAAGTTCAATTCCCAGCACCCACATGGTGGCTATGAACAGTCCTTAACTCCAGTACCAGGGGAATCCGATGCCCTCTTCAGACCTCCATGGCATTGCATGACACGCTGCACTCATACATGCAAGCAATACACTCATACACATAAAATAAAATAAATAAAATATTTTAAAAATATGTTCTCCCTTCTTTCTTTTTTTTGCATTTTTCTTTTTCCTTTTGTTAAATAAGGGGACCCCACAGCGCCCTCTTCTCCAGCCTCTGCAGACGTGCCTCTTAGGCCTTCTCTTTCATCTCCTTTTCAGTTGAGCACCTGAACAAATGCAGATGGGGGTCCAGGCATATGGCCTCTAACTCACAAAGATCCGCCTGCCTCTGCCTCCCAAGTGCTGGGACCAAAGGTGTGCAACACCACACCCAGCTTTATTTATTATTTTTATTTTATGTGTATGTGTGCATTGCCTGCATGTAGGTAAGTGCACCTGTGTCGTGCAATGCCCGAGGAGGACAGAGGAGGCTGTCAGATCCTCTGGAACTGGAGTTACAGACAGTTGTTAGCTGCCATGTGGGTACTGGGATTCAAACCTGGGTCTTCTGCAAGAACAACCAGTGTTCTTAACCACTGAGCCATCTCTTCAGCCCCTATTTAAGATTTTTAACTCAAGTGGTAGCTCAGATCTGTAATCCTAGCATTCGGTAGGCTGAGACAGAAGGATCAAGTAGCCTGGGCTACATGGTGAGATGTAGGCCAGCCTGGGCTACACAAAAAGAAAAGATTGCGGTAAAATTTTATATTTTATATTATCATAATTCATGAAATTTTATTTCTTCAAGTAAACATTAATAAAATTTCAACTGGGCATGGTGGCACACACCTTTAATCCCAGTACTTGGGAGGCAGAGGAAGGTGGATCTCTGTGAGATCAAGGCCAGCCAGCCTGGTCTACATAGTGTGTTCCAGGCCAGCTGGGGCTACAAGGAGATGGTGTCTTTAAAAAAACAAGCAAACAAATGAAACTTCAATGATCTCTCGACCCAAAAGATAAAACTTATACATTTAAAAAAATTTTTTTGGTTTTTAAGATGGGCTCTCCTAGAAGCTCTAGCTGGCTTGGAGCTCCTCACTATATAGACCAGGTTGGCCTTGATCTCACAGAGACCTACCTGCTTCTGCCTCCCAAGTACTGGGATTAAAGGCACGTGCCACCACACCCGACTTCATGTCCTTGTATAAAGCATTAAAATTACATGTAATGATGACCGGGGCGCAGCTCAACAATGGTTCTCTTGCTTAGTAGACATAGAGATTTAGGTTCAATCCTCAGCACTGAAAAAATAATTAAAAGTTGACAAGGAAATTTCAATAAACATAGGAGTTCAAAGAAAATATAGAATATAAAACTTCTAGTGGTTAAAATACCCAAATATCTGGGGCTGGGAATGTAGTACAATTGGTAGAGTGTTTGCCTGGCATGCACAAAGCCCTGGGTTCAATCCCTATGACCCCATAAATTGGACATAGAGGCATATACCTGTTAGGCCAGCACTCAGGAGGTAGGAGGATCAGAAGTTCAAGGTTATCCTTTGATGCATAATGAATTTGAGGCCAGTCTGGACTACAGGAGACCCATTCTCAAAATGAGGGAGGGGTTGGGAATATGGCTCACTTTGTAGAGTGCTTACCTAGCATGTACAAAGCCCTGGGTTCAATCTCCGGCACCACTTAAAACCAGGAATGGTGGCACATACCTATAATCCTAGCACTTGGAAGGCAGAGCAGGCAGATCAGAAGTCCAAGGTCAATTTTGGATGTGAGGTCAAAGCTAGTCTGGAATACACAAGACCTTGTCTTAAATTAAAGTGCTTGTGTGGTAGCACTTGGGAAGCAGTGGTACAAAGGATCCCCACAAGTTTGAGGCCAGCCTAGTTTACATATTGAGTTCTAGGCCAGTCAGGGCTACACAGTGATAAACCTGTCTCGAAAAATAGCCCTGTTGTCTTTTAATAAATGGTAGCAGTAATCAAGTTCCTATGCATGGACTATAAGAGTTCATCTTGTCTTTAAGGAGTGATTTATCAGTTTTAAGTGCGTACACATAGCTAATGCAATAATCCAGAAACAACCTCCCTCCTTTGCAAGCACTTTTTTAAAATGTGTGTGTGTGTGTTGCCTGAATGTATTTAAGTGTACCTGTGCATGCAATGCCCATGGGGACCAGAAGAGGACATTGGATTCTGTGGGACAGAGTTTTGGATGGTTGTTACCTGCCATGTGGGTCCTGGAAACTGAACCCAGGTCCTCTGCAAGAGCAGCCAATGCTCTTAACCACTGAGCTATCTCTCTAGCCCCACAAGTTTTTGTAAAGCAGCTTACAGGTTTTTTTTGTTTATTTATTTATTTATTTATTTATTTTGGTCTTTTTGAGACAGGGTCTCCCTGTAGCCCCAGCTGTCCTGGAACTCACTATGTCTAGACCAAGCTGGCCTTGAACTCACAGAGGTCTGCCTACCTCTGCCTCCCGAGTACTGGAACTAAAGGCATGTGCTGTCCACCCGGCTTGCTTACATTTTTAAGCTATCCATGAAAAATGTACACCAGCCCACACATATTTTCCAAATCTGTTAATAGGTACAAACATCTATGACAACTTCAGAAATAAGTCCTGGATCCCTGGGACATCACCAACACAACAGGCCTGTCCATCATGGTTGCCACGTGGGGAGCTGTGTTTCTCCTCTAGCCAGGGTTGCAGAGGGACCACAGCTGAGCACCATCCACACTGGTTTCTTCTAGGTGCTTCAAGGTGTCTTGCCAAGCTGTGGGTGTTCACCCACCCCTGGAGCTGTCCCACTACCAGATCAAGTTTGCAGCCACTGCATTGTATGGCACCTCTGTGTCCACACTATATGTCATCAACTCTCACCTGAGCATGAACAAGCTGACCCACTCCCTGCCCCGCATCGGCTCAGAGGACGCCAGCCCAGTGGGACCAACATCCTTTGAGTTCTTGATGCCCCCCAACTCACCCATCACCATCTCACCCTCAGTGGGGACCGTGTTGCCAGGAAAGGTAAGCATTGGTCCCACTGACCGGCTAAGCAGCAGGGCCTCCAGACCACTCTCCAGGGTGCCTGGCTCTGTCCACTTTAAGCACAGCACGGCCAAGGAGCACAAGCCAGGAGCTACATAGGGGTAGAGGTCTTGAAGAGTTCACAGTACCCTCAGCCGGTCTTTTGAGGCACAGAGCATCCCAGGCAGCTGACCTAGCAGATGCCTGCCTGGAGCTGGAAGAAAGCTATGCAGACCCTCAGAACAGCCAAATGTTGGACTCACGGCAGACAGAGCACAAGGAGGTCACATAGTACCTGCCTCAAAGAGCACAGGAGTGTGACCCACTTCCACCCAGTGTCCTTTAGCCTGGCCACCAGCAGGATTTCAGTGAATACCATTATTTAAAACATGTTCTGTTGAATCTAGAAAATACTAAGTGTCAGCTCTCAACTCCCAGCAGGTTACTACAGTGTCCAGCTCTGTTTCTCCTTCTTCTCTGCCTTCCCCCTCTTCTCCCTTTTCTCCATCTTCTCTGCCTTTCTCTCCGCTCTCCCTCATCCACTCTCTTCCCCTCTTATGGCCTCGTTTCTCCCTTCACCTACAGTATGTCACCCCACACACCTTCTCTATCCTGAGCATCAGGGAGACATAGTCAGCAAACTACTGTGGAATCTGTGTTGAGACATGTTCCATGGAGACTTGCTGTAGATAGGGGAAAGGGCTCCCTGTTACCATGTTCATTTCATGTTCCAGTCTCATCGTAATGGGTGAGGACATCTAGGTTGGAATATCAAAAAGTGACCTCCTACCGGGCGTGGTGTTGCACGCCTGTAGTCCCAGCACTTGGGAGGCAGAGGCAGGCGGATCTCTGGGAGTTCAAGACCAGCCTGGTCTACATAGTGAGTTCCAGGACAGCTGGGGCCACAGGGAGACCCTGCTTCAAAAAGACCAAAAAAAAAAAAAATGTGCCCCCCAAAGCCACTCTGGGAAGAGCAAGGTGCTGAAGAGGGGAGGTACCCTCTGGGCCTCTGCCCTTTGGGTTCCAAAGGGAGGGGTGGCAGCCTCCATGTCTCTCTGCAGAGGTGCTTGGTCCAGGTGGCCTTCCAGCCTGTACTGCCACATGAGATAATCCTGGAGGAAGCCATCCAGCTCCTAAACAAGGAGACCAAATCGGTATGTGAAGCATTGTGGGGAAGTGCATAGTGGCCAGAGGGGAGGGGTGCAGGAGAACGGGAGGGCATGCTGGCATGGTAGGTAGCCTCTGTAGGCCTCTGGCACCTAGGAAGCCCATGTGACAGGAACACAAGGCAGACTTTTCTGGCATTGTGCTTCAGGCTGTTTCCAAACAGGGCAAAAGGTTTTTTTGCAAGACCTCTCCTTCTCTCCAGAAAGTACCACTAGTCAGCCAGAACCAATAGTGGCCCTAACCAAAGCAGGACTGTTGTAAAAATGCAACACAGAAACAAGCACAGTGCACCACAGCTGCTCACAAGCAGCAGGAGAAAGCGCAGAAATGACCTCTGGAGCACAACCCTGAAATAGCAGGCTTGCTGTGGAACAAACCCCAGACACCATGGGCAGACCCTGCACTACACCAGCCCGGAGACATACGGCCACTAGTCACAGGCGTGCTCTTCTGCCACATCACATCTTTTTAAAAAATATTTTTATGGGGCTGGAGAGACGGCTCTGCGGTTAAGAACACTGGCTGTTCTTGTAGAACAGCCTTGAACAACTGTCTGTAACTCCAGTTCCAGGGGATCTGACAGCCTCTTCTGTCCTCCAAGGGCACTGCACAACACGGGTGCACTTACCTACATGCAGACAATACACACATACACATAAAATAAAGATATGAAAAAAAATTTCTTAAATATCTATTTTTATGTGTATGAGCATGTTCCCTGCATATATTGAGTGCACCCATGCTGTGCAGTGCCCTCCAGGTCAGAGAGGGCATTGAATTCCCCTGGAACTGGAGTTACAGATGGTTTTTAGCCACAATGTGTGTGCTGGAAACCGAAACGGTCCTCTGCGAGAACAGCCAGTGCTCTTAACCCTGAGCCATCTCTCCAGCCCCCACATCACATCTTTTATTATACACACATGAGCAAAAGGCCTGGCCTTCCACTTGAAGGTGAGAAAGGCCTGGTGTAGGAGGCAGGCTAAGGAAGCCAGTTCTGCACACTTCTTACCGCACTGTGGCTTGGTTCCTCTGACTGCAGACACTGCAGTTGATGATCAGCCCGTAAGGGTCTCTGCACTTGGATTCCCAGGTGCCCCTGCACACTCACCTGTCTCCACTACTTAATCCCCTGTTGCCCCTGCTGCCAGTCTTTCCTCGGGGGCCAGTTGAACTGGCGGGTCCTGCAACTCAGTAGACAGATCAAGCATACTAGTCTAGGCCTGAGAGAAGCCTGGGGTAAGAGAGCAGTATGCTGCCGTCGGAGGGTTGAGCCCCTAGGACAGTCCCGCAGCATCTGTTCCCGCTCACTCACAGTTTCGAAAGGAAACAGCCCAAAGGAAAGAAATATGGAAACAGTCCTTGTCTGTGGTTCGGGTACACAACCGGGACCAACCGACCCATGTCTCCACTACCCACAGTCCAGAGCTGCAGAGGCAGGAGCTGAGTGCCAGGTAGGCTGGAGGGATCTGCCCCATCTGCATCCCACTAGACCCTTCTCTGTTTGAACTCACCTGGTTCAGCAGAGGCTTTCCCACATGTGTTTGGGAAACATCTGCACTGACCTGTATGGCTGCACGTTCAGAGTCAGCTGGCTTCAAATGCAACTGAACTCAGGGCTCTCTTTCTGGGCATCTGCCCTTCCTCGTGCCCATGGGCCTGATTTCCCTCTGAACAGACTCATTCCATGGTCTAACTCCTGCCTTCCCAATGAACAAATGCGCCCAAGAAAGTTCTGATATCAGAGTTACCAGCCCAGGACTTATCCCTGTAGCCCCAGGAAGATGGCTCTGTAGTGACAAAGTCATTTACTCCCCCCATCCTGGCTAAGCAGGATCTGCAGTGGGGAAGAAGTCCCTATAGGAGAAGGGTGGGAAAACCAGCCTGTCAGACAAAACTGATATAGCCACCTCCTGGGACCCATTGTGGCTCCAAGCTCTGCCCGTTAACACTCTGGCCTTCACCAGAGAGTCCATCTGAAGCCAGAGGCCTGGAGAGCAGGCACGGTCATTCCCCATACCCTGAAGTCCGGGGACAGAGCCTGAGAGGTCATGGGGAACAGGCATGAGTGAGCTTTCCTGGCTTCATTTCAGTTCCAACCAGTATCAGGCTGCCCAAGCCACCTTGGCCAGAGCTTTCCAGGGAAAGTTTGACAAGTTTGTGATCCCCTGTGTCATTGCCAGAGGTGACATCAAAGACAGAAAGGCAACGGAACCTCTGAGCTTCAGGTATGGGGTACTTAGGATAAGATGGGATGTGATTGGCCACAGACTCACTGCCTCGCCTCGACTACTGAGGCCCAGGGGGGCCCGGATCACCCCAGTGTGCCCTCATTGCCCTTGTCCTGCCTCCAGCCCCCATAACACCCTGTATCTGGAGCTATGGTGTCCAGCAGTGGCTCCATCTATTGTGGTGACATCCAACAAAGGCAAGACTGTCTTTAACTTTGGTGATATCGCTGTGGGTGAGTACCAAGTCTATACTGACATCAGCCCTCACTCAGACCCAGGACCACCCCAGCTAACCACCAGCCCCCCTGACCTTATTAGAGAGAGAGGTGCTCCTTGGGACCTAGGGGCTATGACCTGACTCCTTGCTACATTTTAGGACATCGAAGCATAAAGAAGATCTCCCTCCAGAACATCTCCTCCGAGGACCTTTTTGTATCCTTGCCGGTGCTCAGTGCAGTCAGCTTCTAGGGTTGGAGGTGGGAGTGAGGCACGTGGCAAAGCCTGCAGAGGTCATGTCTCATCCTTGATGCTGAATCCTCAGATGGAGTTCTCAGTACTGAACCCCAGTGGCCCTTTTGTCTTACTAAACCCCTCCAGAAAGCTCTGCTCTGGGGAGACGCAGGTCCTGGTGCTGTCCTTCGCACCCCACGAGAGCATCCTGGTAAGTGCAGCCCTTCCAGGCAATGCTGCAGCCCGGGGCTCCCCATAATGCAGGACCATATTATGGTCACAGGCAGGCACCACTGTGCTCTCAGGCCCAGATGATCAGCTGAGGCCTGCCAGTAGCCTGTCCTTCTGACCCCCTCTTTCCATCAAGTCAGGGGAGGCAAGAAGCACCAGCCTGTCTCAACAGTATAAAGTTATGAACCAGCTGCTCATGAGTGGAGCTCCCATATCTGCCCCCTTGATAAATAACTGTTTCTTAGGCTCAAGAAACACTGGATATCATAACCAAGCGAGGCACCCTCACCCTCACCCTCACTGGCACCGGTGTGGCATCCATGATTACATGCTCCATTCAAGGCAACGTACTCAACATGGGCTACGTGCTTGCCAGAGAGTCTGTCTCTGTAAATTTCAAGGTGAATCAAGTCTTTGCCCTGGCCCAGCCTCCTAGAAGAGAGTTCCTTGGAGGCAGTCAACCCCTGAGTTGGAAGTACCCAACTGGTTGGGGAGCCAACGGAGGCACAGACTGCAGCTCCACCCCCATCTTCAAGAGGGCCTTCACTTCTACTGTTGTCCTAGCAGGGGGCCCAGGGCCTTTCTGGGAAAGCTGAGATTCCCCCCCACCCACTTACCTTCAGCCATGGCTCTGGCCTGCAGGGAGCTCCATGTCCTTCTGTCGTGGGCCTTTGCACCTGGCCACTTCCATTGCTCTCCTGCCTTGCTACTTATTTATTTCTTTGGGGCAAGTACTAGTTTGCCTTCAATTGCTGTGACCAAAACACTCTGACAAATACCAACTTGGAGTGAAAGGGTTCATTTGGCTTACATTTTCCAGGTCAGAGTTCATCACTGAGGCAGGAGCTGGAGGACAGCCCTGGAGGAACTCTGCTTACTGGCTTAGTCCACTGGCCTGTGCTCAGCCTGCTTTCTTATACGATACAAAACAACCTGCCCGGGGTGGCACCACTTACAGTGGGCAGAGCCCCCCCACATCACTCAACAATAAAATGCCCCACAGACCAGTCCAATGGAGGAAATTCCCCAACTGAGGCTCCCTCTACCCATGTGTCAAGTTGACACCTAAAGCCATCCAGCACAGGTCTCTACCCAGGTACCCACCAGGGGAGCAGACCTCTAAAGAGAGCTATGCTGTCCCCTTGGGTTTCCTCACCTGCACATGAGCATGGCCTGCCTCCCACTGCCCCCACAAGGGTGCCCCAGCTTTGGGCTCAAGCAGCCTACTTGCCCACCTGCTCTGCTGAGGTCCTGAAGCACAGCTCCAGACAGGTTGCTTTCCAGAGGTGACTGAGAGAGGGAAGAGACTAGCTGAGGACATGGCTCCACTAAAAGGAGGGCAATGACAGCACAGCTGGGCAGGGAATCAGACCAGCAGCCTGGGAAAAGGCCAACATGAAATGGATGAGATGGACTGCATGCCAACAATCCCAGAACTGCTAGGGAGGTCCCTGTTGGGAAATACCACCAGAAAGACCTGAGCATAATACTACCTAGTCCCTATCAGGTATGATCCAGCAGCAAGTAACCCAGTCCTAAGCACTCACCACAGGGTGTGCTAGTCAGATGACCTCTTGCTCTTGCAGCTGTACAATGAATCTTCGCTTCCCGTTAAGTTCTGGATGCAGCTGGAGAGCCTCTCCGCCAAAAGGGCCGAGGCCCAGCAACAGGTGCCACGGTTCCTCACCTCCCCTGAGCAGAGGACTGAAGTTGTGGGTGAGCTGGCAGAACTACTAAATCAAGGGGTCACAGGACCATGAGGAGATAAGTGCTGGTACCATTCTGGGTAGGGTAAGACAGGACAGGCCATGGAGAGATGGAGAGGCTGGGCTAAAGGGTATGCCACCATGGGAAGTCAAGCAAAAGAGGCACTATGGGACACTGAGCTCAGTGGAGCAGGACTGGTGGTGCCAACCACAAACCCTGTCCTACCACAGGAACACAGAACTACAACGGCCAGAGTGTATTCAGTGTTGTCCCAGTCGAGGGCTTCATGTTCCCTGGGAAGGCTCAAGAATTTACCGTGACCTTCAGCCCAGACCATGAGAGCCTCTTCTTCTCTGACCAGCTCCAAGTGGTGCTCTTTGAAAAGGTGAAACTCCCAGCTGGGTCCCCATGTATCCTACCCCATCCCAGGAGGCATCCCTGCGTGTCTCTTCTCTGCCTTTTCCTGGAGACTGACCACCTAGCTCCCCATGTTGGACGCTTTCAGATACAGATCAGTATCCCTGGTTCTCCAGGTCCTACCCCTGAACCAGCCTCAGTTCCCAATTGTGAAGTTGCAGGACAGGTTGCTGTGCTTCTTGTCCCCAGAAACTCTCCCACCAGATCCTCCTGAAGGGTGCTGCCCGAGAGCACATGATGTTTGTGGAGGGAGGAGACCCACTGGATGTGCCTGTGGAGTCCCTGACTGTGATTCCTGCCTTTGACCCAGAGCACAAAGAAGGTGAGCCTTCGTCTGGTAAATGCTGGCACAGGGGAAGGGAAGGCAGGGGTAACCTCAGGGAGCAGTGAGAGGACCCTCCAACACTCCTAGCCAGCAAGTGGGCTCAATTGGCCCATTGGAGAAGGGCAGAGGTTTTTCAGCCCATCAGCCCCAGAGTCAGGCAGGATGATCTCTGCCAACTAGAATGCTCTGGAGAATTCAGCTCCACCCAACACCTCTGTTGCTCTGCCTGACCCTGGGCAACTCCCCTCACTCCCAGGCCATGTCCCTCCACCCAGCCACTTCTCAGCTAGATCCTCCCCCTCCAGAAGCTGAGAAGCTGAAACCCATCTTGGTGACCTTAAACTACATCCAGTTTGACACAGACATGCCAAACATACCTGCCACCCGAGAGCTGCAGGTGGGCTGTATCCGAACCACCCAGCCATCGCCCAGGAAGGTAACCACAGCCCTAGCACTAGTTAAACCCTGGCAGCCTCATTGGCCTCCCTGACCTGGAATCCCTGGCCTTCTCTGGCCTTTTCCCTCCCTGGGTTTTTCTAGGATTTCTGCAGCAGATAGGGGATGGGCAGCCCTAGTCAGAGTTAGGGGGTGAGTGGAGCTGGGTATCCTCAACATCCCTAGTGCCATTTCCTTTTGGGAGTCCCTGACCCTCCAACCTCCAGTAGTGCCTATGCCTCACAGACTGTAGAATTCAGCATGGACGGTATCACATGGCTGCAGCACAAGGGCTTCTCCATTGAGCCCTCCAGGGGCTCTGTGGATCGTGGCCAGACCAAGACCATCAACATCTCCTGGGTGCCACCTGCCGACTTTGATGTAGGTGCTGGGACTCCAGGCTGGGCAGGAAGGGGTGACTATGGTAGACTTGTGGGTCAAGGTAGGCAGGCCATTGGGAAAGACCGTCTGGGAAGCCTGCTGACTAAGGGTCCTCTTCTTCCAGCCAGACCACCCATTCATGGTGTCAGCCCTGCTGCAGCTCAGGGGGGACATAAAGGAAACCTACAAGGTCATCTTCGTAGCCCATGTGGTGGCTGGCCTTTGAGGCTACAGGAGCCTCTATGCAAAGCCCCTTGGACTCTCCCACCTACCCTTGAAGCCTTCCACCAAGCTGTGAGCCAACCCATTCCTCCAGGCCTGAGACCTGGGCATCCCCTACTGAGCAGGTTCAAATAGCCCCAGAGCCAGAACTCCCCAGCTCCACAGACATGGCTACTTCCTGATGTCCTAAACCCAGCCAGCTCAAAGTCTGAGAACAGCCCACACTAAGAACTACTGACTACTGATGCGACCAGTTCAACACACAGCCTGCTCCTCACCCTACCCCCAGAGATTCCAGACCTACCCAGCATCCCTCCAGGCTTTAGAAATCCAGGGAGTACCACACCCTACAGACTTGTCAATAAACTTTGAGAACCAATACATACAGTCTGCAGTGTGGGGGACAAGCAGAGAATGAGGTGGGAACAGAGCGTCAGGGAAGCAGCACACACACACACCCCAATCTATAAAATAAAGCTCTGCCTTGTAAGGACCACCCAGAGGATAGGAGTCTTGCCCAATAACTGGAGAGGTCACCTTGACTCTAATGTCTGGAAGACCCTTCCAAATCTGTATCATTGAGGGCAAAGCAGGCATCAAATCTGTATCAAAGCAGGCAGTGGAGGGTACTAGGGGCTACAGAACCAGAGTTGATCATGGCCCAGACCTGGAGAGGTACAGGGAGGAGGGAGAGGAAGACAAGAGGTTCCAAAGTCCAGAGAAAGGCCCTTAAGCCTCCCAGATGTTCCTATGTCCCAGGATGTGAAAGGCATGGACAGTGGTTGTGGGCCCAGCTCACCCACATCCTCCCCTTGAAGCCCAGCCAGGGCCAGGGGAAGTCCAGCTTGTGAGTTTGAGTTTACACTTGTCTAGAAAGAGTGGATTCTTCTTTCTGGGCCCTAACCCACTGAGCCCATGAGATGCTGTTACACCCTCACTCCAGCACCCCAGCAACTCCCACCCTCTGAGGTATGGCTTGGTGGATGCCTTCTCTCAGACCCCCTCCAGCCTGACCCTCTATCTGTGCAGCACCCTCCTTGCCGCTCAACTGAACACTGCCCTTACACCGGTGTGCCTTTGGAACCCTGAATACTAACTGAGCCAGTAGCATTAACCTTGGAACAGCATTTTGCAGGACTTCTGCCCAGCAGCCTTGGAGGTAGCAGACCCTGGGGCTGACCAGCACAGGTCCTGGGTGTGTAGGGCAGCTGTAGACAGAGACTTGGAGTCCTCCTATCTCCTGGGGGAGGGCCAGCAACCACCCACCAATGCAACTATGAGCATAGTGAAGAAATGAATGCAGGAAAGGAAGGACGAGAGCACCTCGCCACCCTTCTCCCCACCATGGCTGTGTTGACTGTCTCCTGCATTCTGATCATCAGTGTGTTGACAGTCCCCTGGTAGTGGAGGGCAGAGCAGCCTGGCAGAGCACTTAGTCTGAAAGGAGGAGTGAGAATCAAGGTCCTCCTAGAAGCAGCCCCAGCAGGAACAGCAGGCATGAGCCAGGTGCTGGCTCCAAGTGCTGGGCCCTTCCCCAGACAGCCACGGTGAGGATGCACAGCAAATGTTCTAGAAAGATGGTTTGGAAGCTAAAGCCCCAGCATATTAATGCTGTAAATCCCCAGCCCTTACCTAGAGTGCTAGAGTGTATAAGGGTGGATCCCATTTGTCCATTTGTCCTGCGAGGCTACAGCCCAGGGCAGTTTGGGAGAGTTTCAGGAGAGCTAGAGGGGCAGGGGAAGGGCAAGAGGAGACGAGGACAGACCCATGCCCCATGCCCGGGCAAAAGCCGCCCTGTCTCCTCCTAAGGCTGTCACCATGTGCATGCGCGAGTGCGTGCATGCGTGTGCATGTGCATATGTGCGCATACGCGTGTGTGTGCACGTGTGCGTGTGTGCATTCATGCGTGTGCGTGCGTGCGTGTGCGTGTGTCGCCCGCGCAATTCAGAGTCCGAACTTTAAGTGAAGAAGCAATGGGGCGGAGCACAAGGATGCCGCCTTCCAAAGTGGGCGTGACCTCCGGGGCCCGCCCTGCGATCGGCAGGAGCCTAGACTCCCAGCCCGGCCTCCCGCTGACCAGGTGCCAGGGCGGGCGCGGGCCCGGGTGGGCGGAGCCTCGGAAAGCGGTGCCGCGGGCTCCGTTCCGCGGTGTCCGGGAACATGGCCCCGGGGCCGCCGGCCACGCAGGGGCTCCTGCTGTTGCTGCCGCTGCTGCCGCTGTCGCAGGTGGGTCGGGCCGCGCGCGGTGAGGGCAAGTGGGGCGGGTCTGCGCTCGGCCCCGCCCCGCCCTGGCTCACCCCTGTCCCCACAGGTGGCGCTGGGTTCCGCGGAAGACAACTGTGACCCGTCGGACCAGTAAGTAGGGGAAGGAGGGGGGGGACTGGCTGGCACGAAGCTGTGGGGTGAGCCGGCCAATACCCCACCTGCTCCAGGTGCCGCTGTCCCCTCAGGTGCCCGTCCCAGGCCCGCTGGAGCAGCCTATGGCATGTGGGGTAAGTGGAAGCCTGGGCGCCAAGTTCGGTAGCAGGGTAGATCGGGCCAGACCCCCTCCACCGCACCTGTTGCATGGCCTGCTGTCAACTCCCTGGAGGCTTCTGGAGGGCATTGGAGACCCAGGCAGCCTGGAAGCTGGGCCTGGTCATAGTCAGCAGAAGGCACAAGGAGAGTGCAGTTGGCTGAGGACAATGTGTACTGGGCAAGAACTCAAGGCCACCCCTGGCCAGCCCTGAAGAGTCCAAGGAGACCAGGGCAGAGCAGCTCCTCAGCCTGGATCTAACCCTGGAAGTCTCTGGCATGGGGAGGCATTCTCTGACTTTCTTTTCACCTGTCTGTTGTGCTGTCTTAAGGGTGTGCATGACTGGTCCCAGAGTGCAGGTGCCCAGTGGCAGATGGTCAGTCCAGCTGCAGGGCCTTGCTCTTCCCTGTCAGGCTCATCCTGCTCACCATCCTCCTGTTGCTGCTCTGCGGGGTCACAGCCAGTTGTGTACGGTTTTGCTGCCTCCGGAAGCAGGCACACACCCAGACACACCTGCCACCAGTGTGGCAGCCCTGTGACATGACTGTTATCCCTGTGGACAGTGACAGCCCTGCACACAGCACTGTGACCTGTGAGTGTCTGGGAACCTGTAGCAAGCATGGGTTGGGGGTGGACACTGTGGGGTGAATGCCACATCCCTTCCACAAACCCACTCTCGTTCCTTGCAGCCTACAGCTCTGTGCAGTACTCACTGGGCATGCAATTGCCCCTCTCTTTTGGGGAGCCTGATCCTGACTTCATGGTCCCTCCTGCCTACAGCCTGTATGCTCCTGAGCTGCCACCGTCCTATGATGAGGTTGTCAAGATGGCAAAACCCAGAGAGGAGGAGGCAGCTCCCTCCCAGAAACCCAGCTCTCTGCCTGAGGCCTTGGAGACCACTCCAGAACCCCAGGAGCCAGGCCCCAATGCCCAGCAGCCCTAGCTGTGTCCCAGTGCCCCTTGAAGAGGATAGGAGTTCTTTCTCTTGGAGCTAATAGATCATAGCTTAGAGTCCTGATGCCTAGGACCAAGGACTCCTGCCTGTGTCATCCTTCCTCTGGGAAGACCAGCCATCCAGCACATTGCTGCAGACTCAGGCCTTGTTGCTATGCAACACTGGCTGGCCAGCCTGCCTTGTGTTGGCCACCTCCTCTCCTCCTCAGTACCAGGCAGGCTGATGGTCTCAACACACACACACACACACACACACACACACACACACACGCGCATGCACGCACGCACATACACACGCGCACACACACACGGCCTGTCTGGGGCCAAAGAGATCCTCATTCCAGGGGAGGAGCCTCCAGCCTGAACCTTGGGAGCTCAAGGCCCTCTGGCATGTCAACCCTTTGAAGAGAGAATAAAGTTTATGTGAACACGGTCTTTGCCTTTGTGGGAGGGGCTTTAGGGCCCCAGGGTATACAGCAACCCCAGATAGCCTCCCCAGTGCAGATAGGCAGGGCAAGTGTGTATCTATCTACCCTTCTTGCTGGTGTCCAGAGCCCAGATCTGGACAGTGGGAAGGACCAGAAGTGATCTGGATTATGTGCCCAGGGCCGGTCCAGATTTCTTTCTCCAGGCTCACCTATCACCCACCCACCTCTAGGGTGAGGAAGTGGCGAAGACACTAGCATCAGACTGAATTTATTTGATGCAGATCTAGGGGCAGAATGGGCAGTGACAGGCAGCACATTTCCTGGGCAGGCCTCCTGCAGCCAGAGCAGCTGTCCGACTGGACCAACTTGAAGGACTTTCCCATCGTCATGGCCACAAACTCTGGGGCAAAAGGGCAAGTCAGCACCTGCCCTGATCCAGCTACTCAGTCCCCAGGCCCATCCCTTGCTCACCCTCATAGTCTGTGATTACATCCCCGTCCTTGTCAGGCTCCACCATCTGCCCAGCCTCCACTTTATTGAGGGGTTCGCCCACCTTCACAAGCACATACCTGCCAAGGCCTCACACTGAGCCACCATCTGCTGGTATCTTCATACGCACACGTACACACCACACACCACACACACACACACACACACACACACACACACACACACACACACCACCCAAGCACCACCATCCCCATAGCTCCAGGCCCTACTTGAGCATGTTCCTGTCTATGTAATCCTTGCTGTCCTTGTCAAAGACTTGGAAGAGCTGCCCTCAGCTTGCCCTCTTCGTTCTGGGCCTTCTCATGGTAGATCCCCATCAGTACCAGAAAGTCACAGCAGTTGAAGAGCCCTATGTCTGCAAGACTTTTTTTTTCCAGTACAAGACTCAAGTGAGAGTGGGGCTGGGTCACACTTCTACACCTCTTCCCACTCCCATGCACAGGTGACCACAGCCCAGGACTGCACCTCACATCCCATGCCCCACAAGCCCTGGCTTACTGTCTCTGTCCGAATCCTTGGCCATGGAGGCCAGCTCGCTCTTAGTGGGGCTGATGCCCAGCAGGCTCCTGAGCTGCTCCAGCTCACTGTCAGTCTCTACCTCTCCATTGCCCTCATCATCAGACATCCCAAAGACACCTTTCATTCCTTAATCTGTTCAGCTGACAGGCACTCTATCTGTGAGGGACACCCGAACTCACCTTCACTAGGGGCTTCCTTGCTCTCCTGTCCACATGATGGTGGGAGATGACCCACCATCTATTTGGCCGCTCTTCAGGGCATATGATTAAAAAGGAGGCCCCAGTGCAGAGCAAGTGTTCAAGAATAAGGTGACAAGTGATGGGCTTTGTGGTGAGTGAGACTCTGTCTGACAAGGGCAAGAATAAGCAAGGCAGAGGGTAAGGGCTGGCATGGGGACCAGACAAAGGGGGTCAGGTAGGCACACAAGAGCCAGGGCACAGGCCAGCCATGAGAGGTAGCAGCAGAGCAAGGGGTCCATGGGACAGACCCTGAGGTCAAGGGAGGAGCCCAACCAGGCCAGAGTGGAGCTTCCCAGGGAAAGACTTCCAGGCCAGCAAATAACCAGGGCGGAGGAGATAGATAGCCTGGGAAGCAAAGCTTTGAGGGACACTCCGGCACCGGGCCACCTTTGCACACCTTCTCAGCAGCAGGTCCCTAAGTAAGCCTTCAGAAAGGGGTGCTCCACCTGGCCCTGAAGAGGAGCAGTGTTGGTGATGGGAAGCTTTCTCTCAGTGCCCCCTCCAGCACCCTCCTCAGTTTCCTGCCCCTAGGCTTCCAAAGCTCCTCCTTAGATTCCAAGAGGCCCTTATACCTTGGGTGTTGGCTCTTGCCGTTCTCTACCTGAAGGTCCTGCCCCAGCTACCTCCCTAAGGCTACTACTCCCAGCTCTGGCTCACCCCACCCAACCAGACCACCAGAGGTTCTAACGAGTGCTAGAGCCACCTTACCATGTCTGTGGTTAGTCAAGAAGACTGTGCAAGGCAGTGACCCCAGGCTGCTGTGCACAGAGCATGCAGCACAGTGGTGGTTTTAGCTGGGTCCCCAGGGTCCAGATTCCAAGAGTCTTATGTGCGTGGGAAGTCCTGCCGGCCCTATTTCAAGATAGGCTCAGCCTTTCCCTACAGGGGCCCTTCCTGGCTCTCCTTGGTCTGAGCATCCCCTCACCCTGAAGATGAGTGCCAAGGATCAGGAACAAAGGGGCAGAAAGGGGCTGGCCAGTGCTAAGCCCTTACACAGGCTATTCCATTTTCATGGTCGAACTCCAGTCTACATCCTCAATGCTGCCATCCCTCCCAGGTTCTGCTGCTAGAGCCTCATTGGAGGCTGCCATTACTTATTTGAGACTTCTTGAAAAAGGCTCATCCCAGCCAGATAGTGTCTGATTGGCCCTAGACTGGTTGGTCTCCCATCTTCATGGGCTCAGTGCCCATTCCAGTGCCAACACTTGGCAAACACTCTCTAAAGGCAGAATGACTAAGTGCATTAGGGACCCAACAACTTTGCTGAGCTGGAGCTGAGGGTCCCCAGCCTAGAGAAGAGACATAAGTTCAGTCTAGGAGCCAGGCAGGTGAACCTAGGGCAGGCTGCTGCTGAGAGGCTGGCAGGTCTCTTCTGGGTAGTCTGAGGCTATTCTGGGGTTTCTTGAGAAATCTGACCTCCCTTCCACTCAGAACAGCAAAGCCGGCTCCCAAGGGAGCCACGTGCCCAGGCTGATCAGTAACAAGGCGCCACAGTGACACTCAAACCCTCTGTGCCCACCTGCACACGTGCGTTCTCTCAGACACACGCAAGTGCCACCTGTCCAGGCGCTGACCCCCAAACCACCACTGGAGTCTTCCCTGCTCCCATCCAGGCAGTGAGCATGAGACCTGCTGACGAGACCACTGCACTCAGAGGTTTGCACGTGCGGATCTCGACCTCTGTGGGCTAAGGGGGCTCCTCTCATCCCTGTCCGGCTGCCAACATTAGTAATGGACATGTGCATGCCTGTCCCTCCCCCATGCTTGCCTGATGGCTCCAAGCAGGTGGGGCACTCAACAGTCCACCAACAGCCCAGCCTCTGCCTGTCAGAATTCCCAGAGCTGTAGGATTACCCTCTGCTCAGAAGCCAGCTGCTAAGGCCAAATGATTTGTGCTGACAGGGATGGGATGGTGCCAGGGTGCAGTGGGCCTGTCTCATTTCAGGAGAGGCCAGCTCTGGGTTTGATGGGGTTGGAGGGTCATTCTGTAGCTTCATCCTGGCTGTAATCTGGTCTTCATTCCCTCCAGGCTGGGGGGTTCTGTGTACTGAATGCCTTCCCACAAGGGCACAGGGTAGGGGACATCACAGCACCCAGACACAATCTTATCTGGATTCTAGGCCCAGTGTCCCAGATTGGAGACAGCAGGTTACAGAAAGATGTCATCATAGCCCTGGACAGCTGTAGTGGCTTGAATGAGAAATATCTCCCATAGGCTCAAGTATTTCAACACTGTGTGGGGCGGTCATGGGATACTGGGGTGTAGCCTTCCTGGAGGAAGTACATCATTGCAGGGCAGGCTTTGAAAGTTCATGGAGTTGGCCCACTTCCAGTTCGCTCTATTTCCTGTTTGCAGTTCAAGATGTGAGTCTCCAATGCCTGCCCCCACAGCCACGCCTCCTGCTTGCTGCCGCACCTCCCCATCACGGTGGACTCTTACCCCTCTGGAACCGCAAACACAAATAAACTTTCTTCTTTACGTTGACTTGGTCATGGTGTTTTACCGCAGCAACAGAAGAGTAACAATGACAGCCATACCTCTCATCTCTCACCTGACATCTCACAGCTGTGAGCAGAAGACTCAACTTCCTACACCCCAGACTGTTATCTTTTTAAAAATATTTTATTTATTATTTTTATGAGTATGAGTGTATCGCCTGCATGTATATAAGTGCACCCATGTTGCGCAATATCCACGGAGATCAGAATTCCAGTGGGACTAGAGTTAAGGATGGTTGTTAGCTACCATGTGAATGCTGGGAATCAAACCTGGGTCCCAGCAAGAGCAGCCGGTGGTCTTAACCACTGAGCAACCTCTCCAGCCCCTCTTATCTTTTTGTTTGTTTTTGTTCTTTTGAGACAGAGTCTCACTATGCAGCCCTGGATGGCCTGGAACTCACAGAGATCTTCCTGCCTGTGGAAGCCAGAAGAGAGCGTTGGGTCCCCTAGAACTGGAGTTACCACCACGTGAAATCTGGGAACCAAATCCATATCCTCTTCAAGAGCAGTCAGTGCTCTTAACCACCGAGCCATGTCTCCAGTCCCAGCTTTTTAATTTTTTATATTACATTTATTTGTGTGTGCCTATGTGCATATGCCATAGCATGCATTTGGAAGTCAGAGGACAGTTATTAGGACTCAGTTCTTTCCTTCCACCATGTAGGTCCTGGGGATCAAACTTGTGTTGTCAGGCTTGGCAAGTGCCTTTCTCTGCTGAGCCATCTCACCAGCCCCACTCAGCTTTTTTATGCTGGTGCTAGAGCTCCAAACTCACGTCTCATGGCTGCACAGCAAGTACTTAATCCACTGACCCACCTCCCAAGTCCTGAACTTTTTTTTAGTATGATTACTACATTTATTTATTCATGTGTGTGTGTGCGCGCACGCGCGTGCTTGCGTGTGCATATGCGTGTGTGTGCATGCGTGTGTGTGTGCCTGTGTGCCACAACAGAGGAAACTTGCGGGAATCCATTCTCTCCTTCTACCAGGTGGCTCCTGGGGATGGAATGCAGGTTGTCCGATTTGGCAGGAGGTGCTTTTCTACCCTTGTGCCAACTCACCAGGCCCCCTGAACTATTTTTAAGTGCATAGTAGAGCAGGGTTGTGCACCTTGTACTAGAAGTTCTAGAGCTTTCATCTTGCAAAATGGAATCTCTAGACCCACTGAAGAGCTCTCCTCTCTCCCATCTCCAGCCCTTTCTATCGTGTTTCTGGATACTCTAGTGGAATCATAGGGATTTTACCTTTCCTGGCTCATTTCACTTAGCACAATGTCTTCGAGGTCCACTTATGCATAGCATATGATAGAATTCCCTTCTGTAGGTTAATAGCAGTCATTGTGTGCACAGACTATATTTGGTTATACTTCTCCATCAGCAAATCATCAGATTGTTTTTACCTCTGCTTTTGTGAATAATGCTGCAAGGAACGTGGGTATGCAAAGGTAGTCTTATTTTATTTTTATTATTATTTAAGTGTATGAGTGTATTGCCTGCATATGTGTAGGTGCACCTGTGTTGTGCAGTGCCCAAGGTCAGAAGAGGGTGTTGGATCCCCTGGAACTGGAGTTAGGGTGGTTGTTAGCTGCCTTGTGGGTGCTGGGAATCAAACCCGAGTTCTCTGCAAGAATAGCCACTGCTCTTAACTGCAGAGACATCTCTCCAGAATGCAAAGGTATTCTTTAAGATGAGATTAACCTTTAAATCAGTGGGCTTTGAGCAAAGCGTGCAAGTGGGCCTTGTCCATTCAGTTGAAGACCTTGAGAGAAAAGACTGAGACCCCTGAAGGAAGAAGCAATTCTGCCCACAGATGAAGGTCAAGACTGCACCGTGAGCTCTTCCCTGGGTCTCTAGCCCCCACAATCATGGACCCACTTCCTTAAACTCAGTCTCTGTTCTTGCCCCACATCTGTGATAGAGACATATGCATGTACACGTGTCTACACATCTCCTGTCTCTCTAATACAGACAGTCACACGGGGCAGGGACCCAATTCCCAGGAGCCAGGAAGGTTCAAGAGCAGTGCGCCCCAGGTACCTGGAAACCTCTGCACTGTAGGGCATGCTCTGCATTCTCTGGATAGAGTGGCACGAGGCCATGGGTACCAGAGGGACTGGAAGGCTATGTGTACAGCAGGGAGGGCCCAGTGCTTCCTGGCCCTGTTGCTCCCAAAGACCTGGAGACCTAGTGTCCTACTTTGGTTTCTCAAGCTGTGATAAGCTACCCTGACAAACCAACCTGGAAGATAAAAGGCTTTGTTCCAGCTCCCAATTCCAGGCTACAGTCTATCTCTGTGGGGAAGTCATAGCAGCAGGATCGTGACACAGTTGGTCTCATGACACCCACAGTCAAGAATGGTGAGAAATGAGTGCACAGACGCTCACTTGCTAGTGCTCAGCTTGGTTTCTCCACTTTTGTA